TAGCCTATTATTCTTAATGAAAAATACATCAACAAAACAGTACAATGACAAATTCGCTTATATAGGCACTTTTACATTTTGCTTTGACACCAAATATTCCGCTATCATCTTGTCAGTCAGCTCCTCACTCCAGTGTTTCCGCTACATTCATTCTGCCGTGGCGGGCCGCCACACCTAAAATCATCCCGCCACGGTCCGATATTGTATGTGTTATTGTTAAGCCCCACTAAAGGCATACAACACATTGTAAAGCACCATAAAGTTTTCGCACTATATTCCAAGACTTCTAAAGTCATTCAATAGCATAATGTGAGGTAAAAATGTATATTTAAGTCGTTAAGTTAAAGTTAATGGAAACTCATCTCTCCTCAGTCATTCTCCATTCAGCATTCAAACAGCACGTCACGTTCGGTTACGACAGTAACACGACGACACTCTCTTCAAGATCAATGATCCCATTATTATACTTTATTTGTAGATAAAGGTCTACAGTTTGCATAAAATTACTTTATCTTGCTGGAGTTTATAGCGCTTTCTAAATCATATTCCTTTCTCCCGGGTGTCTGTTGCTACAGCACTAGAGTAGAGAGCAGAATTGTTCTTCATGCAATTTAGCAATAACTTCATTGTTCTAGTAAGTTAACTGAAATTTAAAACCGTTAAAAGAAAAGGCTCAATAAACTGTTGCATAGATATAATACATTAAGCATAGATGGATATAATCTCTTCGCTTTGTGCTTTGAACTTTTCAATGCGAAGCGGAAGCGCTGCACGCTGTGACTTCGCGTTGCTTCAAGTGCATCATTCTGCGGACGGTATGCGCATAATCGCTTTGCCGCTCTTATTGGCGCCTTTCATGTTATAATGCTTAGGGGAGGTTTAAACACCTGGGATAAGGGGGCGTGGCCAATGGGAATATCACTCATGGGCCACGCCCCCTCCCCCTGGCGAAATGGGCCTGCCACCATGGCTGGTAAATTAAATCTGACGACTGCTGCTGATCTGTGCTGCGACTCTCGTTTAGCTCATGATTTATTAAGCAGACACAGTTTAGTTTTTAATTGTAGGGTCTTTTCTCTAACTGAACTAAATGATTTTTATTAAAAACAATTGACGGTGGAGGCGGTGCAGCGGTGGGCAAGTGATGTAACACAGACTATCGTGGCAAGCCTAGCTTGCAGAGAAAGGCTTACCAAAACAAAGTTACTGGGTTGTCACTTTTCACGTTTTCTGGGTTGGTAGATGCACCGGGGACACAATTACAGCACTGAAACATGGAAAAAGTCATATTTTCATGATATGTCACCTTTAAGTCAGTAAGACCTAATCACAAACAATCCTAAAATGGCTGTTGCCAGCAATCCGCCTAAGTAATCCGCCCAAAGACACTGTACACCATTGAGGCAATAGGTGATAGAGCCTTGGGTGTGGAGCCTTTTCTTGATTAATGCAACAAGTATTTTGATTTATAGATTTTAATCTGCGATGACATAACATAAAGGTTAATTTATGTACAGCATTGTGGGCAGCTCGGGTGACCCGAATTCGAGTTCCGGCTCATGGACCTTTCCCAATCTCAGCCCCCCTTTCTCTTTTCCACTTTGATTCATGTCTACTCACTGTACTATCATAATAAAAAGGCAAAAATGGCAAAAATAAATATTTTAAAATAAATGAAAAAATAAAATAAAAAATAATGTCAGATTACCTGTGGCAGTTGTATCACGAGTTCACACTTACAAATGATCGAATAGAGTAAAAGAATTCAGCGTGCTGTCAGAGGGGAGGGCTCCGAGCTTGGAATCGAGCCCAAACCTGTATCCCCAAGCTGGGAATAGGAGGAACCAGCCGAGAGTCAGGAATTGGGGTGGCGGAGGAATGCAGAAAACTGTCTGTCGAGGTACTGTAACTAGGTGAGTCGGCTGTGTATCTCCTCTCGAGCTGATTTGATAGACCATTTGCATATGAGCATGCTCCTCTTTGTTTATAAAACATAATTTGTCACTCGAATTCTGCAATCTCTCGGGATGCAGTCATGTTCGACTCGGCGCGGAACGGTTCGGCTCGCTTCGCTTTTCCACTGCGTGGTACGACTCGACTCGGTACGGCACGGTTCGGTTCGGTTCGCTTTAGCTCGGATGCTTTTCCACCGCAGTTAGTACCCCTTCAAAGTGGGTGGGACTGATCGTTATTTTGTCCCTACACTGTTTGTAGGTCCGGTGATAGCCGTGTGCGGCTAAGAGCTGAGCTAAGTTACTTCTTGGAACACTTTTTCATTCCGTTTTGCCCCATCCAGCTCTCGCTGGATCCGCTCCTCGGCAACCAACGAGAGGAATGTCTGCACCTCGTCCACTGACCACGATTCAGCCATTTCTTTTTTAAAGTTTTGATCTCTTTTTTTTCCAAGAAAGTAAAAAACAGATGCTACCGCGTTGGCTGTTGTCTACTGGTTATTTAAATCTAGCGGGTTTAGTGTCTCGTGTCGCAAATCCAATGACACTGGTAGTGACGATTCTGTCTGACCAATCAGTGATCTGCAGTGTTTTTACGTCACATTTTAGTACCGGTACGGTACGCTTGGAACCTCAACAGACCAGGTACCATTTAAAGCGAGCCGAAGCGAGCCGTACCGTACCGTACCATGCAGTGGAAAAGCACCACAAGTGAGCCGTACCGAACCGTACCGTACTATTAGACATGTGCGTATTCGGTAATGCGATAAATCGCGGTAATGAATATGCACGATATTGTTATCGCGGGGACTTCGAAATACCGTGAAAAATAATAGATCCGAATTTAGATTTTTAGAACGCGCATCAGCTTATTTTCCATCAACCGCTTAAAAAACAATGCGTAGGCTATATGCTGCGCAAAACACGTGCGCACTTTGATGTAAACAATGTATACATCAAAGTGCTTATACATCACATGTATAAGCACTGTGTGCATGCAGTGCGCACTCTAGTCTAATGTAAACAATCCTCACATGGAGAAGAAGCACGGCGGAAGGAGGAACGCTGCCGACTATTTAGCCCCGCATGGCTGCCAACTCTCACGCATTCAGCTTGAGACTCACGCAATTGACACTTTCACACGGTCTCGCGCCACACATCCATTTTCTCACGCAGAGAAAAATCGCGGAGCAAAGAGGACACTGACACCGACAGACTAGACAGAGCAGGTTACTTTTGATATGAAAAAAATATCAGCTCTCAGGTTTTATAACGAAATTCAGACAATAAATACTGTTTTGGTGCTTGTAAATGACGTGACAGATCGCGCGCCTCAGTTCAAGTAAACAGATCATCTGTTACTTTTTATTAAAGATACAGTACAACCCACCGAAAGGTACGTACTTTCGATCAATCAGTGTTTTTCAACCACGGAAAGAGGTCAATAACACTGCAGGAGAACAATTATGTCACAGAACGTTACATTTACCTCAGGAAAGCCATTTAATGTTAGTTGACTATAAGAAAATAGCTATAGAGAGGAGTATTTTGCTAAATATGTGCACTATATTACATATTTTAATATATGTTTACTTGTCATTATATAATTGTTATTATAATGAAAATTACGGCATATTACATTTTTATAATTATATTATTATTATATTTATATTGTATGCATTATATTTAATTTCTCTCTGTATGTTTACAGCATTATGTGAGATATATTTTTTCTTGAGAAAAAATTAAATGCAGGCTATCTACTGTAGCCTACCTAATATTTATCCAAATGAGTCAATATTGAATCAAGATTGAAATTAAATCCAAGAATTTAATTGAAATCATGAAAATTGTGTTAAGCAATAATACAAACAGTAGCCTCAGTAACTGTACCATGTAAACATTATAACATGTTGTCACTAAAAAATAAAATTAATGTTTTGACAATCACAATTACACATTGTGATGCAAGTTTTTTTTAGATACCCCCAATCCGTCTGTTTCTCTTGTGCAATTAAAATATCGTGATAATACCGTATACCGTGATAAAAGCTCAATCAATTAATCGCAGCATGAAAATTTGATACCGGCACATGCCTACGTACTATGCAGTGGAAAAGCGCCAAAGCGTGCCGTACCGAACCGAACCGTACCGTACTATGCAGTGGAAAAGCGCCATAAGAGGCTGACAATTAGCTGAACATATACTTTTTAATAAGTGACACTTACCTACATTAAAAAAATATCTTTATCTGAATGAGACATTTTCATTTTAAAATCTCTATTTGAATATGGCAACATGATACCTCGCTCTACAATATTTCTGATTAAATCACTGACAGAGACCCATCCCCCAGCAGCCAATCACTGTGTGCATTGTAAGTAAGCGTGTTGACATCATCCATAGCAAAGAGGTCAACCCCACCCTTTCACTTAGCTTAAGATTTCTCTCTATTCCTCAGTAAAAGTTGGTCCCAGCAGTTTTGTGAATAGGTAAAAGTAAACCAGTCAACCTAAAAACTTTTTCTGCTATTTAGGAGAACTCTTTGGTAAGATAAAATGTTTTGTGAATACGGCCCTTGATTAATCTCATATAGGATGCGTTTTGTTGAGTTTTTTAACCCGCTAGCAAAGCGCTTTAGTTTCAGCTCAAACGGCAATGCACCAACATTGACTGTGATTGGGTTATTTGAAACAATCATATTCCTTTTATATTTTTCTTTTTCAAAAACATATATTATATAATTAATAATCCAGCGGTGTTATATTTTTCTCGTCATTTTTTTTTTCAACAGTAGGTTGTAGTTTTTTGCATTTTTTCCCCCTCCAAATTGTGGTACCCTTTGAAATGAAGAACAAAGTGGCATTGCAATTGTTAAACATTGAGAAAGGATATAAGCGTCAAATAATTGTATCAAAGTTAGATCTAAAACACAGATTGCAAAGTTGTGTGTAGGCCACTGCTGTCGTATTTAAGCCATTAATACTCTCTCCTGGGACAATTGCTGGAAGGAACGAGAAGGAAAGTAGAACCAAAGAGCAGCTTACCTGAGTCTGGATGCGGTTGAGTCCTCTGAACCACAGAATCTGTCCCCTGCGCATCTCCATCTCAGCGTGGTCAATTTCATCAGCACCTTCGGTTAGCACCTCATTAGTGATGTCCTCTTTGGGGATTCCATGACCAGCCTCCTTCAGGAACTTGAGGCGGTGGGTAGGGACGGCAGTGACGAACTGGAGGAGGATGAAAATAGGGTAAATTGATGGCAACTGCAGCTCATCAAATAGTGTGTGTATTTGAAGTCGATTCATTTTAAGTGAATCATATCTTTAGGATAATTCATTCATTGCAATTAAATGGTTATAAAAATTCACTCATTAAAGGTGCTCTACGGAACTTTTAGCGGCCTCTAGTGGTGATGTTTCAGATTGCAACAAGAGCGCTCGTGCTCGTGTGCGATCTCAGGAGCGAGCATTCACTACAGGCCACACGGAGACTTTCAACGCAATGGCGAAAGCATCACACAACATGCTGGAAACTCATGTAAACTCCCACTGCAACGTTACAATAATAGGCTACTTTTATCAGCTTGACGTTGAACTAATGCTCCATGCTCGTACCATGATAACGTGACATTGACTGCATTTAGCCGACATGTGATGTTATCTAGCATAGCCTACGGCATTTCACTAACTATTCGTGTATCTTTCACAATCAACAATGTCAACATAGGTGAATGTATAATAATGATAACGAAAATGGTTAGTGAACTAGACTGAACAATGTCAGTGTAACAGTAAGACAGTAGGAAGTAACATTACTGTACTGAACGTGTCTGGAAATGTTTATTATAAACAATATGATAGTGGGATGAATTACGATATAGCGTAACGATCTATAACGTAGATCTAGTACATAAAACAAGTATCTTAAAGCACCTTTTCTTATCCTGGAACAGTCTTTTGTATTCATTCCATGTCTCATGTAGTTTACCTTGCTATTTCATTTGAGTTTACTAATAATTCAAAAGCTCTGTTTATGTTGATCCGTGTTTTCGTCCTGAGTCGATCAGAATCACGTTTGGCCTGACGAGCTTCAGCAGATAAAACTTTTTGTTTTTTATATTTATGTGGAGTTAGTGTTGGAGTGTGTGTTGTGCTGGAGGCAGGTCGTTTTTGGGTGTTATCAGACTCATGTCGTCAGCTGCAGTGCCGTCGGTCTGTATATAAGGAGAGCGGCTCGGGAGCGCGCATGCACGTCACATCCGATGGATTTCGCGGTAAATCCGACCCGGAGACTTCACATATAAATATGAATATTGGCCTTCAGAGGTAATAGCAAAACCCGACAAGTGGATCATTGTAATGTGTGATTACAACCCCTTCACACACAGGCAATAAAAATAGGATTCATTTTATAAGAAAAGTTCCATATAGCACCTTTAAATATTTGAAACCCAGCTGTTTTCAATTCAGTTATATCAACAAGGGTGTTTTATTAGTTGTATTTAGTATAAATGTATAATTTATATGATCAAAAATTATCATTATCATTTTTGATGAAAACTGCTTTGACTGAAAATAAATCATGCTGTTATACTGTTCAAAAGACATCGGACCCCTTAGCTTAAATGTAGACAGTTTCTGCTAAGAGTCTCACTGTAATTTAACCTCTTTAAATTCTAAAACTAGTTTCAAAGGGGCTTTCCAATACAGACACACACACATACCAGTCTCTACCACCTATGGTAGCTCTAAAATAGCTCCAGATATTTATTTGCAATCCCCCATGTAGGTGGATCTGTTAAAGCTGTTTGAAACGAGACATCACTGAGACAACTTAAACATGAAGAAGAAGTAGTGTGTATTCTCTCTTCTATGTATCAAGTTCCCAGTATCTGGTTCTTGTGGACGCACGCGTGTATGCGCACAAACAAATGCTTGCCTGCACAAACATCAGCTGAGAAACCCAGTAGAAAGTGGCTTATGTGTGATGCAACTGCCAGAAGGAGCAGACTGCTTGCAGCTTTAAAGACTTTATCCGCACTTGATAACTTCCTCTGGCCTTTTGATGACCTAACATGATGTGTCAGTCCTGCATACAGAGTTTTAAATTTACTGTAAGCATGGCTAAATGGAGGCAGAGGACCTTTCATGTGCTGCGGGGTTGATGAAGCTCACACCTCTCTGTTCTCTTCTTTCTGAGCTGAACTTTGAGATGGCAGCAACCACTCACTGGAATTGTGCAGCAAGTTGCCGTCTGCCAGCCTCCCTCGTTCCCTCCCACAGGTTTGAATTCGCACACAGCTTCACCTCCCCCTCCCCTCCCCTTCCGGTGGGATTGAAGAGAGAACTAAAGATGTTCCACATCACCCACGCGTGTGCATTCTGTTTTTTGCATAGTGATGTTTTCATTATTTCACCACTGACAAGCTTGTGGATCATTCTCTTTCGTGACTTTTGTCACCTGTAAATCTAATATAACTTGATAGAATGCTAGTTTTTACTCTGAGCGTTAAGGTGATGATACACAGGGCAACTTTTTGAGCAATGTTGCTGGGCAATGTTGCCGTCAACGTGCAACCAGATGAGACACAGGGCCCACAACCAATCTAAATGATCCAGATAGAAATGTATTGCCCATTTTCAATGGGAAAGTGCCCAAGCAACAATCGCTCGGCAAGATTGCCCAGCAACATTGCTCAAAAAGTTGCCCTGTGTATCATCACCTTTAGTCTTTACTGATTTTGTTTAGGCTAGAAAGAATCAACAGAGCTACTGATTAGTGATAAATAATGACATAATGTAAGAATTTGCCTTACCTGGCCCCAGAGCAGCTCACCAACCCCGATGAACACACACCAGAGCCACTGATCGAGGGTGAGGGCTGTGCAAGAGAATGGCTTCCCTCCAAACTGCACAATGATAATCTGTAACAAGGTGTATTCCATTAGTCCAGCTATACTGTAGTAAAGCAATAAGCAACGAGAGACTGAATTATAGCGATTTTCAACACGCTTAAGCGGTGTTGTTTGGATTACTTTAAACCTCTGTCTGTAGTCATGGTGAAAATAGTTGTAACATATGGACTTTTTGCTTTTATAATACAGAAGCACAGTCAAACAGTATATCCATAATAATATATCCATTATAAAAAATTTACTCTAGTATATATAATACAATAAGCTTCAATGAAGAGACTCAACGTTCCTTCGTTACTAGTTCTATAGTGACGTTTTAGACTCTCTTTAATGTGGCGTGACAGATCACTATACAGGCACCTCAGTTTAAGTAGCAGTACACGAGAACGCGATCATCTCTTCCTAATAAACATCTGAAGGTATGTTGAAAGATAAAGTACAACTTACTGAAATGTATTATATTTCGTGTAATCGCTCAATCAGCGTTTCAACGGCAGAAAGACACCAGTAAAACAGCTTGTAAACAATGTCATTAAATTTACCTCAAGCAAGTAATTCAGTGTTCACAGCTTGTTAGTCAGCTATAGGGCTGTCAAAATTGCTCAAAAATGACGTTCGAATATTCCCTCTAAAAAACATATATTCTAACTATTCGAATATCTGGTTGCGCATTACGTCAATAACAGGACAAATTAATACAAAGAGACACAACTACTTGTATAGGTAGTTTATTTAAGTTTAAACATTTGACAACGTATTAACTTACACAAAACCAAGTAAATCAACTAATGGCCAAGACCGGAGACCTTACTCTCGCTCGCACTCGCAGGCACTCTTTCTCTCTCTCTCTCTCTCTCGCCCTCACGCTCTCTGCGCATAACGGTTTAAATGAACAACAATAAACAAATGTTGAGTGCTGATCAAGAGTTTTGTGCAAGCAATGTAAGGTCGCAACTCTTGTCCTAAATATAGCAGGCTTCATTCGGTGATTGAAACAAATATTATTAACATTAATTGAAGTTTTACAGTATATAGAACCGACATGGAACGCTCCGAGCGAGCTGTGCTGTGGTAAACTCATGGGTAAACTGCTGCTAGCCAGGCTGCTACTATGGCTATTTCGAGGGCGTCTGGCCACGCCCCCTTGGCGGGCTCTGACGTGTCTGATGTAATGCTAGCTCATTGGCGCACACGTTGGAGGCGCCCGTGCCATTGGATGTGCAGTTGCCGCAGCACAGCCAATGAGTGAGCCAGACACTCACTGTGCTAGCTGTGCAGCTGGAAAATGCGTTTTACATTTTAAGCTTCAGAATTTTGCCACTCGCAAAGCAGACAGCCCCGCCTCTACTACCGCGGGCGTGTTTTTCCACATGATTCGAATATTCATTTTCACCTTCGAATTTCTGTTTTTTAAAACTATTCGAATATATATTCGAATTTAGAATATTCGTTGACAGCCCTAGTCAGCTAGAGAAACTCTTTCGCTGAATGCACTATATTAGCCTATATATTCATTATATTTAACTTAACCTGCTACTGTTACTGATGTCTTGATTATTTAATGTATGTTTAAAAATGATGTCATGAAAATGACAGCCAGTGTGTAAATAATTATATTTCAACAACGAATTGGAGTAAAAACAATTAAATTTCTAAAAATAAATAGCAACTGAATTTAGGCTAATAGTTTGGGCTCTGTGGTTAACCTTAAATATTTTTTTTAATCCTTACAATTTTTTTTTATTATAATTGAATTAATTTAAAGACAGACACAATTTGTTCAGTAAACCACTGTTTAATAAAAAAAAAAAAAAAAAAAAGTTTAATATATATATATATATATATATATATATATATATATATATATATATATATATATATATCAGAGTTTCCGCTAGAAAAAAATGGTGCCGGTCAAAGTGACCGGCAGAGGTTTCGTTTAACGGACATTTTGATGATATGCCAGTCATATCATCTAGCGCTAAAATCAGTTGTTTTTTAAATCAAGCTGAGCGCTCGTGTCCGCTGCTATCAGTGTCATGGACGACGGCTGCGCGAGTTGCGCAATCTTCACTCGGACGCGCGTTTCAATCTATCGCTGTTGCGGAGACTCTACACAGGCGAAGCACTGCTACTTGGGCGCAGAGATATCACGCAACACCTGAAATAAAGCTTGCCACAAAGAACCGGCAAAAGTAATGATTATGCATGAAACATTTAAATTGTTGATAAATTGATAAAGTTGACGATGCAGACTCGCCATCTTCGCAGTAGTGAACGCGCCTAGAGAGAGAAATGCACACTTCATATGAATAAATTCTTATTTTTTAATCCAGGCAAATTTGTTGATGAAACATTGATTAAAATGAAGATACAATTTATACAAAACGAAATAAACTTTAAAGAAAGGCTTTCTAAAAAACAAAACTAAATAAGTGGTCAAAATCATGTCTGACCAATTCCAAATGTTTTCCGATATATAGGCCTATTGGTCATCTTATGATCTTATCTTACTCATATCATGCGGTTCCCTTTTCATATAATCAACATAGATGAAATAAAAAAATAATAACATTATATTATTTATAAAAATGAAACGTATATTTAAGTTTTTTAACTTATAATAAGCGTCACACCACTCCGGTTTGCTCACATGCTCTGGTGTGTAGTCTAATGCATGTGTGCGTGCATGTGGTGGAGGGGTGCGATTTTCGAATAATAATCAACCCAGCGATCTTCGAATATTATTTTTGCTTGAAAATTTCGTTTTGTATAAATTGTATATTAATTTTAATCAATGTTTCATCAACAAATTTGCCTGGATTATAAAATAAGAAGCAAATATAGTGGACAATATAGGCTAATCAGGACACGGAGGCGTCGGCGCGTGCACACTTCTCTCAGGCGCGTTCACTACTGCGAAGATGGCGAGTCTGCATCGTCAACTTTATCAATTTATCAACTTTATCAATAATATCAATGGACCTGGTCATATTTGAAACGTCTCACTCAATCGTTCGTTGCTTAGGTCTATATCACAGCCGTTCTAGGCGTGCGCTTTATTTGAAATGCAGCATGCGATGTTGTTTAATAACTTTCAAACGGTAGAGCCTGTTCCTTTATAACATAGCCAAATGTCGGTGTATTTTTGCTTTATACCTTTTAGGCTTATTCTCAAATTCATATTGTGTTAGGGGGGCGGGATTATTACGCAATTTTAATCGGACAATTTGACCGGAGAGATTTAATTTTGTCGGACATTTCTTTTTTTTTTCGGCCAATGTCCGGTAATTACCGGACAACGGAAACCCTGATATATATATATACACTCACCGGCCACTTTATTAGGTACCCCATGCTAGTAACGGGTTGGACCCCCTTTTGCCTTCAGAACTGCCTCAATTCTTCGTGGCATAGATTCAACAAGGTGCTGGAAGCATTCCTCAGGGAGTTTGGTCCATATTGACATGATGGCATCACACAGTTGCCGCAGATTTGTCGGCTGCACATCCATGATGCGAATCTCCCGTTCCACCACATCCCAAAGATGCTCTATTGGGTTGAGATCTGGTGACTGTGGAGGCCATTTTAGTACAGTGAACTCATTGTCATGTTCAAGAAACCAATTTGAAATGATTAGAGCTTTGTGACATGGTGGAAGTAGCCATCAGAGAATGGGTACATGGTGGCCATAAAGGGATGGACATGGTCAGAAACAATGCTCAGGTAGGCCGTGGCATTTAAACGATGCCCAATTGGCACTAAGGGGCCTAAAGTGTGCCAGGAAAACATCCCCCACACCATTACACCACCACCACCAGCCTGCACAGTGGTAACAAGGCATGATGGTTCCATGTTCTCATTCTGTTTACGCCAAATTCTGACTCTAACATCTGAATGTCTCAACAGAAATCGAGACTCATCAGACCAGGCAACATTTTTCCAGTCTTCAACTGTTCAATTTTGGTGAGCTCTTGCAAATTGTAGCCTCTTTTTCCTATTTGTAGTGGAGATGAGTGGTACCCGGTGGAGTCCTCTGCTGTTGTAGCCCATCCGCCTCAAGGTTGTGCGTGTTGTGGCTTCACAAATGCTTTGCTGCATACCTCGGTTGCAACGAGTGGTTATTTCAGTCACTGTTGCCCTTCTATCAGCTCGAACCAGTCTGGCCATTCTCCTCTGACCTCTGGCATCAACAAGGCATTTCCGCCCACAGAACTGCCGCTCACTGGATGTTTTTTCTTTTTCGGACCATTCTCTGTAAACCCTAAAGATGGTTGTGCGTGAAAATCCCAGTAGATTAGCAGTTTCTGAAATACTCAGACCAGCCCTTCTGGCACCAACAATCATGCCACGTTCAAAGTCACACAAATCACCTTTCTTCCCCATACTGATGCTCGGTTTGAACTGCAGGAGATTGTCTTGACCATGTCTACATGCCTAAATGCACTGAGTTGCCGCCATGTGATTGGCTGCTTAGAAATTAAGTGTTAACGAGCAGTTGGACAGGTGTACCTAATAAAGTGGCCGGTGAGTGTATATATATATATAAAACTAATTTGATAAAAAAATGTACCTGAAGAGCAAAGGTTCCCAGTACGACGAAGCAGAAAATGGGGTTCCGGTAGATTCCTTCAAACACGTTCCTCTCTCCGTGGATCTTGCGGGCATTGATTTCGTTGAAGAGCTGCATCATGACAAAGACGTTGAAGATGATGGTGTAGTGTTCAGACGGCGGGGAGTGAAGAGGGGTGTTCCGGCCGCTATCAATGCTAAAGAACTTCTCACCTTTGGGGACAGAAAAATGTGTTCTGTAAATAAGTGATGTGAAAGTTCAAAATGCATAGTGTTGTATGTCAGGAGGAGCACTGATTGTTCATAAAATAAAACTCTCCTGAAGCACTATGACATGCTTTAGGTGGTCTTTGATATGATCTATCGCACTGTAGGGAACAAAGACCAGTTTAATACCAGGATTTACAGATAGGCAGTCTATTACTGGCAGGTTTTCACAATGAAATTTGGAATTTGGATGGAGGCCCAAAACTTAATGTATTTAACATGAAAGCCTAACATGGAAAAGAATACTCTGCAAGAAAAATACAATATATGTTTGACAAATACATCTTTATGCATTTTTTAATGCATCTTTATTACATGTATTAGTGTAACAGTAAGAATAAAACAAATAAGAATAAGAAAACAAGACGGTGACTGCCTGTAGCTTTTGTTAACTTTAGAGTCTACAAAGTTGCAAATTCAATATTGGTCTTAAATTTTAATTTCTAGATCTACAAGAACTCAATAAATATATTTAAATTTTGCATATGGATATTTTAGAAAAGCCATGTCCAGAGATTAAATTTTTCTCTAGAAGGTTTTCCCCTATAATGTCCAGTACTGTAAAACATTTCATGGTAAAACATATGGGTGCTTGAGGCAAATTCTGATGCTTTGAATATTGCAAATATAAATGCTAGTTGCTAAGCAACCATACATCACATCAATCCTATACACAAAATGCAATTAGCTAGTCCCTTCCTGCAAATGCCATAAAACTTAATTTTAACTTAATTCATCAAATTTGCTAGCCTGGGAAAACCCAGATGAACTTCCGGCAAATTTGAGATTTGCTCTGCAAGTCAGTCTGGCCCAAGAGCCCATTTCCAATTTTTCCAGATCGAGGCACCAATCACAAACGTTGAGGCGGGCTTTACATGATGACGATTGCTCTGATTGGTTTTAGGTCTATCCAATTGCGCCCAGAGGCATTTGAGCGACATCCGTTGGTGACGCCCCTTTGGAGATGGGCTGTGAATGAACCTTCCCCAGACCCACTCTCAGTTACAACTGAGAAGGGTCTAGTGTCAACCAGGCTACAAATATGCCTAAACCTCATCATGAATACAGAAGCCTCTTACCAGCAAAGAGAAGAGTAAATGTGATGATTAGTTGGTAAACGGCATGACCTAAAATGTTCTTCATCATAGTCCTGGAAATGAGTGGTTTGTTCCGGCCGTAAGGTCTTCTCAGTAGGAGCGATTCTGTTGGGGGTTCCGTTGCCAGAGCCAAAGAAGCCAGTGTGTCCATAATCAGATTTACCCACAACATCTGAACGGCTTTAAGTGGAGAGTCCTGCAGGCAAAACAAACCGGAGTGAGACTTCAGAAAGGACATTACTACAGTATTGTCATATGTAATGTAGTTAGGCAGGGACACAATAAGACTGTCCAGCTCCAGATTAGCCTAAGTCTGGCACCAGCACTAAATGGCCACAGTATGTTTCAATCAATATAAAGTACTTTGACTTTGCTTGAAGAGTTCTGTTATCATGGTTTATTATGATGAATCGCCTCCCTCAATGCCATCCTTAGTCACCAAATACTCTGGTGTTTAATTTCCTGAAACTGAGCAATTTATTTTCAAACTTCTCTAGTGGTTATTTCTCTGAGAACATACATGCCAATTTTTAAGTCCTGATATTTTTATTAAAGAGGACATCTTGGGATTTTTAGACAAGGATAACGTTCTCTCCTTTGTTGATTTTTTTTTAAATGTCTGAATTATATTTTAATTATAACAAGTTTTTATCTCATCATCTAAGGAAAAAACTATAATAATAAAATTTATTTACAAATTATTTACAGATAATTATATGAATTTTCAGTACTTTGTTTTACCTGTAGCATCTTGCTTTATTTTTATAAATGACCTGATGTGCTCTACAAAATAAGTGTGAGTGTGAAATATCCCTTTTAAATTAATATTATATTTCCTTCCCTCAAAAATCTGTTTCTATCTAAAAACACAAAATAATTATATAATGGCATATAAAAAGTAAATGCTGGGTCCCAGGAAGTTAAATTAGAGGATGTTATATGTACCTGTGTGATGCAGGCCCCAGTGAAGGCAACAATTACAGCCACCACATTGACAGTCAGTTGAAACTGCAGAAATTTAGAGATGCTGTCATAGACATTACGCCCCCACATCACAGCTTTGACGATACTGGTGAAATTGTCATCAGTAAGGATGATGTCAGAGGCCTCCTTTGCAACATCTGTCCCTGCAATTCCCTGTAAGATAAAGAAAGAAGCTGTTTTTAGAGCGTCTGTGTAAATATCAGAGCAGTCTAATGACTGAAGATGCAGGCTCATTCTCAGGAATGAGATGGATCCCATTAACAGGAAGGTTGAAAAAGGAAGAACCTAACCTAAGAACCTAATACAAATTTAAAACATTATTAAAGTAAGTTTGCAGGTAGCGACATTTAATAAAGTACCGTAAAACTTCAAATAATAGCCCGGGCTTTTATTTTCCCAAATCGTTGAACTGCACCGGCTTGTATTTGAGACAGGCGTCTATATGAGACAGGCCTTTATAATTTAGTGTTGAGATGTTGTTCATGGAGTGTAGGCCTAGAGTCTCTAATCTCTAAAAATCTCCAAATGCTCCACGTGAAAGTGCGGTCTTCCGACCTTTAACTATCGTGTCAATTGATTTTGATTAATATGCGCGAGGGAGAGAGAGCAAGACAGCGCTCGTGTTGTTTGAAGACGTGAGAGTGCGCGCGCGCGGGCGGGGCGCGCTCTCTCTCTCTCTCTCTGCTTGTGCGCCCTGTCAAGTGCAGCAGTCATTCTATTCTACATCACTCACCGATCCAAAAAGGCTTTGGCGGGAAATTTTTTTGCTTTGGCGGCCGACAAAAAGCGGACGATCTGACGGGTTTTAGAAGATTAAATACAACTCTAAACTAAAAAACAGACCCAGGCCTCTATTTGAGACCGTCTTTTATTTACCCAAACCTGCAGCCACACCAGGCGTGTAAAAGAGACGGGCGTCTATTTGGGACTCGGCTATTATTTGAAGTTTTACAGTAATCAAATGTAAAATAACACTGGATAGTCTTCACTGTATAAATTAAGCATAGATTGATCCTTATTAAAGTCTTAAAAAGTTATTCAGTCAAGAGCAGTGAGTGATTTTCTCTTCGTCTTTTGTTCCTTGATATACATTAATGACAGTATTCCAGCAGCGGGTTTAATAGGCTGGTGTCACTAAGACCTGAAGCACATGACGAGGATCCGGATCTGACACGCATCCGATATCCTCACCACTCTTTGCGTTCATTTAACACTCTTGAACTCATTTAAGTCAGTGCTTACGATGATACTCAAGCAAATATTTTTGCATACTTTTGTGTGTTTTTGTCGTTTAAGCGTGAAAGAAAACTCCACTGTCGTGCTGTCTGAAGCGCATTCTTTGCACATATGTGTGCATGTCAGACAGACAGGAGATTCACAGACAGTGAATCAGTACAGTACCAGTTCCAGTACAGATTTAAGTTCTTATTTTTGAGTCTTATCACGCTTGAATGGTTTATTAGCACTTGAATGAAAGATAGGCTGATCATATACTGTTAAGCAGCCAATGAATAGCAGAACTGATCCTGCGATAATTGCGTTAAATATTTTTAACGCGTTAAACTGAATAAATAAATAAATCGCATTTCTAATCCATGCTGACGATGCTCGTTGAAACGGTAGGCAAAAATGTGGAGCAACTGAGTCTAAATGCGGAAGCAACCGTGCGTCGAGTCCATTGCACGTAGAAGCGTGAATTCAAAGAGAACTTAGAAAAAGTGAGATAATAACATTGTTTTAAATAATACAATTTTGTTAAATGCCTGACATAGTAAAAAGAATTCAGGTCTTCTCGGGTCCTTTCGGTATGAAGGTAAATCAGTAGCTAAACTCGAGAGCATGTAGATGTGAATTTGAGAACTTGTACAATAAATATTCGTACTTGTATGTGAACATTTACACTCAGAGCTCCAATGTGAAAACCTGTAAAATAAAAATCTGAAGTTGAATGTTGAGATTTGCACTCGCAGACAATAGTCACAAACCTGTATTCTGAATCTGAAGCTGCAGACACAAATGTGTAAAATGCCATTCACAGAAATACAATGACAGTCACAAACATGTAGAATATTTTTGCACTTCTTCTAACATTCAAATTCGCAGTACAACCTCAAATTGGCACTTTGCAACTTCTCAAATCTGTCACTGCAAGTTCAAATTTCACACCTTGACTTTTGCTACTCTTTTCGCGATATATGAGGTGCAAAACTGATTTGTGCACTTGTAACTCAGTGAGAGCGGAAGGGGGGCGGGAGCGGGGGTGTTCGAAGGAGCCGTTTTATTGGTTGGCGCCTAGCCAATGAAATGGGACTTCTATTGTACGCGATGATGTCACGAAACCCGCCTCCTCGTAGATGTTCTGAAACGCTAACATGGCTTAATGCATTAGACTGATTTAAAAGACATAAATCAGTGATATTATCAAACTTAGTAAACACAATAATGCATACTACAAAATATGGGATACTGGGTAAGGATTAGGACGCAACCTCTGGTTACTAAAGCAATCTTTGCTACAGTATAACATTGGCTGACAAACCCTCATTGAACAAGCCAGACACTCACCCTGCAACAGACTCTCACAGTAAAAAGACAAATTAGCAACAAGGCAGTCACTTTATTAGCAAAACAAAGTGGCTTAAACAGACTAGTGAAAATCGAGAGTATATGCACAATATGCTTGCATTAAACCGGTATCTTTTATGCGGTAACGGTACGATTTGAAAAACACGCAAACAAAAAAATACATGACTTACCATAGCAAAGCCAACATCTGCTTTTTTAAGGGCAGGACCGTCATTAGTGCCGTCTCCAGTCACAGCCACCACCTGTCTCGTTTCTCCAACTGTGCTGTCAATAATGCCTAAAAGACCAAAGTATATGTGACATAGGGCTCATAATAATGGGAGGAAACACCAACTCCCCTCCAGTAGGGTTTTGTACAACTTATATAATATTATAATACATTGGTGTAATGCAAAACAGTGGGGTTAGCAGTGAAAGTGTGGACTAAAATATAACCCAACTATTCGTAAAAATCTTACCTTTAACCAGAGTGTGTTTGTCTGTTGGGGAAGAACGAGCAAGTACACGCAGTTTGGGCCAGACCTTGTCCAGACGCTCTTGCTCAACCTAAAGATAAAGGCAACACTAAAATAAGCACTTTCTATGTCGCTTCAGACATCTGTAGTTAAAGTGCTGCAACTTTTTACCTCTCCTTTGTCATTGCGAATCTGCTGGTTGAAGTCTTTGCCCTCCATGCACAGGAAGTCCTCTCCAGGCTGCAGGATTCCACATTTGGTGGCAATGGCACGAGCTGTGTTTATGTTGTCTCCAGTGACCATACGGACCGTGATGCCTGCTCGCTGACATTTAGAGATAGCCTCAGGAACCTGCACACCGGAGGAATAGAAGTACCATTATTTGGCTTAGTACAAAGCATGTTGGGCAGCCACTGCCATATTGTTATCCATTCAGACACTCCAGTGTTGAATTTGGTGATAAATGGATTTCTGGCAAAAACCAATAAATAATTTTTTAAATAAATAAATAAATATCAATGCAAAATATTCTGGATGGACTTGGATTAATTTAGAAATGACTTGTCAAGAGTCCAAAATGTTTTTACGAAATCTAAGATAAAAGAAAGCATCAACAAATAATCCAACATATTCTTTGTCAGGGATAGCTAAGCAGGGAAATACAGGTAGGTAATAATACAATAATAGTTGCCTCGGCAACCTAAGGTTTTAATTCACATCTTAATCACATCCCCAAATTTCTATCATTTTATCTACTCTCCACCACTTCTTAAAAAAAAAAAACACAAAAAAACCCCAGGAAGAATTAATTTAAAAAATAAATCTAATTTATATAAAAATGGATATAATAATTATAATAATTAGTATAAAAAAAATGCTGAGATCAGAGCATTTTCTCTACTGCTTAATTTTGTGCTTTAATTGAACCCGACATAATAATAAAATAAAAAATTACCTAACCAGTTCAGAAAGTTTCCTGTGCTATGTACTGTGAAATAATACCAAGACGATATAGTCACCACATTGTTCTTCACTTTGTCTTCACTAGCTGCACAAAAAACCCTTTCAGTGAGGTCTAATTCATGAATGAATGAATGACTAGGGTTGGGAACCGAAATCTGGTACCGATATGGAACTGGTACTTAAGTAACCGGTATGCAACCAGAACGAATCAAAACGCAGATTTCGGTGCCACTTTAATGCCTCAGCTGTCAGTTGAAATATTTGCCCTCTGGTTCTCCGAAATGGACGTAAGAAGCACCATCATCGCTAATTAACCCTTCGACGCGTACAATCGATCACACTGGTGTGATGATTACATGATCTGAACGTTCTAATCAACTTCTAAATTCAAATTTGCGTTTGCGCGTTGGCTGGCGCTGAGCCAGAGACAGACGCTCTCAGCGCTGTCATACATAACTATTCATTGTTTTTAACCACATAAGGTTTATTTTAGTGTTCAGACATTTAAATACACATAAGATTTATCAAAACAACATTTATAGTTTGTAAAATACAAACTATAAATGTTGATTAGACTGTGTAAACAGTCTGATCATGTATACACTCAAAAAGATAACTTGTAAAAAAAACCTTTAATTTATGATTGGATTGACTTCATATAGCATATTATTAATGTAGCCGTGGCATCTTGCAGTAATAAATTATATTTATGAAATGTTTTAAAGGCTTGTCCCCATGGAAAAGAGACCTCCTGCATTTGGGTGTCATTATGGACATTATGGCCAAAGGCAAGACAAAATTCTTCCTCAGTGTCATTGCTGGCCTCAGATCAGTGAGAGTCACTCTTGATGTGGCATCCTGACAGTTTGTGGTGCGTGTTAAGCCGTAAGGGTACCGAGACTACTTAAAGCATGAAGGGGCTGGATCTAGACGTGTGTGTGTGTGTGTGCTGGAGTCCTATGTAATTATCCTCACTCAAGTCTTGCAATGAATCACATACCCGTAATTAGAACCAATAAGCTCATTTATTTATAGATAATTAAAAACCTCCCAGTGTTTCCATGGACAGAGATGCTGCACAAGTGATGCATGTGAAAAACATGTTGCATGATGCAAAGAAACTAGAGTGTGCATTAGTGATGTATGTCTCGAGACCGGTCTTGGTCTCGAGACCGGTCTCGAGACCACTTTTACGTGGTCTCGGTCTTGTCACGGCCTTGACGGTCTTTGGTCTCGGTCTTGTCTTGGTCTCGGACCTCTCGGTCTTGTCTAGGTCTCGCTGTCTCAGACCGACATAGTGGTCAGGGGATTGAGCAATACAATACTACAATATCCACGACGATATCCGCAACGTATTGAAGCGCGCGTCCGAGTGAAGACAGTGCGGTGCGCGCGAGCCATGCGAGAAAACACTGTATCCGCGCCACTGATCGCAGCGGCAACGAGCACTTTGATCACTTGATTTAAAAAACACATATCATGTACAGTTTTTGATATATTAATATTTAGTAAAACACATATCAGTGACATGATGGGTTTTACCTTCATTCAGGAGATTTTGGGTAATTGCACAACTGACAGATGACTTTGAGCGCACCGCCAACGGTGTGGTTGTGTGTGTGTGTGTGTGTGTGTAACCATAGCGACAAAAACGACCAACTTTCGGATCCTGCACTTAAGCCTATAATTTCGTTTTTAAAAATATAATTATGTATTTAAAAGTTGCAGAATGGATTCATTTGGAGACTTCGAAATCAGCAGAGATAGGCAGGCAAATGCAAAACAACATTTGACAAGTTATAGCTTAGCTTCAACACTAATGTTTTTTTCCCCTCCGGTCTCGACTTGGTCTCGGTCTTGGTCTCGACTTGGTCTTGGTCTCGACTTGGTCTGTCTTGGTCTTGGTCTTGGTCTTGTCTTGGTCTCGATACCATCTGGTCTTGGTAGTGTCTTGGTCTCGGTTTAGACGGTCTCGACTACAAGTCTAGTGTGCATTAATAAAACTCCAGAATTGGCTCTTGCAGGGCCGGATTATCCATAGACGGGATTGGGCGAGTGCCCTGGGGCACCAGCCAATAGGGGGGGCACCAAATGATTAGAATAACTAAACCTTTAAAATAGTTTTCATGTTTTGTAGGGATGGACCGAATATTCGGCCACCGAAAATTTTCAGCCGAAAAATGGCCCGAAAGTGCATTTTCGGTTTTCGGCCGAAAGACTTATCACCGAAACAATACGGCCGAAATGTTGTGATGACGCAAACAGAAACCGTGACCTGCACGTGCTTGTCTGAAGCAACATGTCTGCGGTGTGGACGTATTTCAGTATATCTGAACCCGCGAGGAGACGGAAGCCTTGTTTATACTTTCGCCCGCCTCCGCAGCGCGAGTCTCCACAGACAGCGTGAGCACCTCTCCAAACGGTCGAGGCGATTATACATTTAGATTTACATTTATTCATTTAGCTGAGTCGCTTTTATCCAAAGCGACTTACAATTGCTATATATGTCAGAGGTCGCACGCCTCTGGAGCAACTAGGGGTTAAGTGTCTTGCTCAGGGACACATTGGTGTCTCGCAGTGGATTCGAACCCGGGTCTCTCACACCAAAGGTATGTGTCTTATCCATTGCGCCATCACAACGACAGGGGACGACTCAAGTAACTGTCCTCTAACCATCAGGAATTACAAAAAAATGTGTACAGTGAGGAAAATAAGTATTTGAACACCCTGCTATTTTGCATGTTCTCCCACTTAGAAATCATGGAGGGGGCTGAAATTGTCATCATAGGTGCATGTCCACTGTGAGAGACAATCTAAAAAATCACAATATATGATTTTTTAACTATTTATTTGTATGATACAGCTGCAAATAAGTATTTGAACACCTGTCTATCAGCTAGAATTCTGACCCTCAAAGACCTATTAGTCTGCCTTTAAAATGTCCACCTCCACTCCATTTATTATCCTAAATTAGATGCACCTGTTTGAGGTCGTTAGCTGCATAAAGACAACTGTCCACCCCATACAATCAGTAAGAATCCAACTACTAACATGGCCAAGACCAAAGAGCTGTCCAAAGACACTAGAGACAAAATTGTACACCTCCACAAGGCTGGAAAGGGCTACGGGTAAATTGCCAAGCAGCTTGGTGAAAAAAGGTCCACTGTTGGAGCAATCATTAGAAAATGGAAGAAGCTAAACATGACTGTCATTCTCCCTCGGACTGGGGCTCCATGCAAGATCTCACCTCGTGGGGTCTCAATGATCCTAAGAAAGGTGAGAAATCAGCCGAGAACTACACGGGAGGAGCTGGTCAATGACCTGAAAAGAGCTGGGACCACCGTTTCCAAGGTTACTGTTGGTAATACACTAAGGGTGTATTCACACCAGGAAAGTCCGATAGTTCACTTGCTTTGGTCCGGACCAAATAAATTTTTTTTTTTTTTTTTTGGTACGGTTCGCTTTCACACTGCTCTTTTTGCAAGTGAACCAAAATTTGTAAACAAAACCACACGTGTGCTAAGGTCGTCCATTCATTGGACAAGGATTCTCGAGTAGAGAAATCAGGAAGTGCAAAAAAGGCTCAGCATGGAGATATTTCGTTATTTTACTAATTTTGTGTTATTCTGTACAAACGCAATATGAAGAAACTGCGCAGAAGACGGATAAGGTATAAAGTTTTCATTCATAGAGAGGGGCTATGTTCACACATTCAAATAATGAGATTCTTATTGTATATACTGCTAACAAGTGCTGTCAATGTTAACGCTTGCGATTAAGTTTGTCCAGTTTAACGCAGCATCATCCTTGTATATCGTTACATTATATGAACTGCAAAAGCTTTTTTTGCATCTATGCGCGATTAGACTAAAGAGAACGCTCTGTATGTGAATGTCCTGATGCACACACTCATTCATTCATTCCATTCCAATGACGCACACACACGACGCGCAGAAAGACGCGCAACAGTATCGTGTGGCCAGACAGCGCGTATTGAACAACAATAACACAAACCATTATGCCAAAATCTCCGACTACGGAAGCCTGTTAACTCAAAGGCGCGGTGCTTTCTTGCAATTGGGTCGGTTCATGTTCACACCGTAAACGAACCGTACCAGAGTTCGTTTGGAACCGTACCGAGACCACCTCTTCAGCTGGGTCTCGGTTCGGTTGTTTGGTCCGCACCCGAGTTCGATTGCTGTATTCACACCTGCCCAAAAGGTCCGCACCAAGGGGGGAAACGAACTAGAGTTCGATTCAATCGAACCAAACAAGGCAGGTGTGAATACACCCTAAGACGTCATGCATGGCACGGAAGGTTCCCCTGCTTAAACCAGCACATGTCAAGTCCCGTCTTAAGTTTGCCAATGACCATTTGGATGATCCAGAGGAATCATGGGAGAAAGGCATGTGGTCAGATGAGACCAAAATAGAACTTTTTGGTCATAATTCCACTCGCCGTGTTTGGAGGAAGAAGAATGATGAGTTAGGGCTGAGCGATATGGCTGAAAACTGTATCACGATATCAGTTTCATATCGGTCGATATCGATAATTATTGATTTTTTTATGACCCATTTAAAATAAGGACCAGAAGAAAAAATATATTACATTCAAACATTTTTATTTTAAACTTAACCTTCCTCTGATTACAATCCCAAGACAGAAATGTCAACACAACCATGGAAAACTCAAATAATTAAAATGTAAACATAAGTCTAAATTCACAATCAGACCTGCAAACTCCTCAGAGTAAAAAAGGTGACAGTGGCGCGGCGGGACGTGGGTGGTGGGGGTTTGTGATCGTACGTGCCCCCTGCTTGATTTGTTTTGTGATTTTAATATGCAAATGACACATTTCTGAGCGTGACTTAACAAAAATCAGCATACTTATCAAAAATCTTTGAGTGCCAACCCGGAAGTTTGTATCTTACACATGCACTGTATCATAAGTCAGGGCAGAGCACCCGGCTAACGATAAGCCTAGCTAACGTTACAGTGATATTCCACCATTTGGGGAATTAAGCTCATTTTCCACCTCCCCTCGAGTAAAACAATCGTTTGTTTACCGTTTAGGAAACCATTCAGCCGATCTCCAGGTCTGACGGTACCACTTTTACCATAGCTTAACGTAATTCATAGTATGACGACAATACTAGGGGTGGAACGGTACACAGAAGTCACGGTTCGGTACGATTTCGGTTCAATGGAGTGAAAAGCAAAACAGAAATATAGAAGGCATTTTTATAAATGTCTTAAGCCTTGTATTATTTAAATAAGTTTTATTAATAAAGCCATAGAACCAGTTTATTTATAGTGCACTGATAATAGTTTTATATAATTGGTTTATTAATTAAACGAATAAAAAGATCGATATGAGATATGTTTGGTAATTGTACCTGAATGAATTTAAAATTAATTTGCTATATTTCAGATCAATATATTTGTTTTCCTTAATGTTAATTAACCCTAACTTTATTCTCATCAGAATTATAAATAATTGATTTCCGTATAAAATAATACTACCAACACATTTCATTTTCTTTTTTAATCAATGTGTAACTTAAAAATAAACAGATTAGTGCTCTGTTTTGAGGACAAGAAATTAAAACCAATGCGATATGATGAATGTCCAAAAGATGGAACACACAGACTGTTTTAAAAAGGGGTTGGATAAATATGTTTTGCTTTTAAAACGGTGTGTGACAGTTGTAGGTTACAGTTTGACAAGAAATACAGTGTGACTAAAGCACAATGTTGTGTTTTATTGCGAGTATAGGCCTACACAAATATAAGTAAACACTATGCAGACTGAATGATGTCCTGTATTAACAAAATGACGGAGTATGTTTTTATGTCTCCACTGTTCGATCACGCCCACGTGTCTCTCTCCCGTGCGCGCACACACACACACACTCCAGCATTGAAATCTTGACATCGCAGCCTGTTCATTATGCTGTGTTCACATCAAATGCGAATAGAGCAAATTATCCAATAATGTTTCGCAATTCTAGCCTGCATGGCATGCAGATGAAGGTCACTCATTTTCTGCTTATTAATCGCCGGTTACTGAAGAGGAACCCAGCAGGACGAGACAACGATATGGCGCAACCAAACTGACACGTTACATGATTGCCTGTTAGCGTGTCACTCCCTACGTTGCTAGGTTACCAGAGAGCGAGTGCCTTTGTTAATGCAACCAAACTTGCCCAGCCCTATGATGAGTACCATCCCAAGAACACCATCCCTACTGTGAAGCATGGGGGTGGTAGCATCATGCTTTGGGGGTGTTTTTCTGCACATGGGACAGGGCGACTGCACTGTATTAAGGAGAGGATGACCGGGGCCATGTATTGCGAGATTTTGGGGAACAACCTCCTTCCCTCAGTTAGAGCATTGATGATGGGTCGAGGCTGGGTCTTCCAACATGACAATGACCCGAAGCACACAGCCAGGATAACCAAGGAGTGGCTCTGTAAGAAGCATATCAAGGTTCTGGCGTGGCCTAGCCAGTCTCCAGACCTAAACCCAATAGAGAATCTTTGGAGGGAGCTCAAACTCAGTGTTTCTCAGCGACAGCCCAGAAACCTGACTGATCTAGAGAAGATCTGTGTGGAGGAGTGGGCCAAAATCCCTCCTGCAGTGTGTGCAAACAAAGGCTACTGTACCAAATATTAACATTGATTTTCTCAGGTGTTCAAATACTTATTTGCAGCTGTATCATACAAATAAATAGTTAAAAAATCATACATTGTGATTTCTGGATTTTTTTTTTTTAGATTATGTCTCTCACAGTGGACATGCACCTACAATGACAATTTCAGCCCCCTCCATGATTTCTAAGTGGGAGAACTTGCAAAATAGCAGGGTGTTCAAATACTTATTTTCCTCACTGTATATACAGAGAGTTTCCAGCTGTTTACGCATAATACCAATCTCTTAGATTGGTTCTTTATTTGTTTTAAACAGAAGGCTTAATATGTATCTATTTCTGTATAGCACATATAGAAAGGATGAATTTTATTCACACTGTAGATGGGAATAGAGATAAAATGGATTGTACCACTTAAAAAAGCCTGCAGGAATAAATTTGACCTAAATATCAGTCATGTGTTCTATTTAGGGGTGAGGGGGGGGGAATCGATTCTTAGATGCATCGCGATGCGGACGTGGACGATTCTGAATTGATTCACAAATGTCAAAAATCGAAAGAAAAATAATTTCTAATAACCTAATATTGACGGAACACAAAAAGGCAGAACTGCAGTCCCCGGACAGTCTGTGGCATGCGCATAACAGAGACGCATGATGGCTGAGCGCGAAATCCGAACGGCACCCTCTTCGTTAAAAGCTAACATATGGAAAATTGGCATAATTTCATTGTGGCCTTTTTCCTATTTTTGTATGAGAGCTGCTTTCTGTATTGTTTAGTTTTCACATCAATATGCTGTAAACAGATCTGTTATACGGACGTTATACGTAGGTTTACTGTACTGCCCTCAACAGGCACAGTGTGTATCAGTGAAATGCCAGTCACAAAAAGTTACATTTTGACTGTGCAGATGTTCATTTACTTTTTTTGTGTAAGCTGTTTTTGATTGTGGTATACAGTAACAATTTCAAGTCATAAGTCTGAGACTCTTTATTATTTATTTGTGTATAAGAGCAGCTTTGTATTAGGGCTGGGGTAAACGATTATTAATTAAACGATTAGTCGGGCGATTATTTTATCGATTAGTCGACTAATCTAACGACTAATTGGACAATTAATATAACGAATTTTTTTTCTGTTGCTCGATTAATAAAAACCATTATGTATCTCAAATAAATACCTATTTAATATACACTTCATATAACAACAGTAGTATTTCATTAAACAGTAATATTTCATTAAACAACAGTAATATTTCATTAAACAACAGTTTTGCACAGTAAAAAAATCTTCTGCTTTACACAAAATAAAATAAAATAATTTCTGTTATACAAAATGAAAGGCCCTTAAGAGAGTCATAGTTACTCCCGCCGTTTACCCGCGCTTCATTGAATTTCTTCACTTTGGCATTCAGAGCACTGGGCAGAAATCACGCCCAGAAACGCCCGCCGCGGGCCTTCGCAATGCTTTGTTTTAATTAAACAGTCGGACTCCCCTGGTCCGCACCAGTCCACGAAGGGAGACGCCCAGACAGAGGTCCCGACGCGAGCCGTAGCTGCGGAGATCCGCGAGAAGGGCCCGCCGCACGTCCAGAGTCGCCGCTGCGCACAGCGACCCGGCCACCGCACCGGGTCTTTTCCTGTTGGTTCTTTGCAATGTTGGGACATATGCTGGCAAATGTAACCTTACAGTTGACTTGCCAAATCACTTCCATTTGTTTTATTAATAAAAGTTACTGAAAGTAAATTCTTTATGGGTCATTATAATAATACTTTGCTTTAAAAGTACCAAGTAGTCACACAAGAAAAAAGATGCATCGATAATCGTTTTAGCATCGCAGCCCTCTGAATCATAATCGAATCGAATCGTGAGGTGCCTAGAGATTCCCACCCCTAGTTCTATTATAGAATTATATATGCCACCTCATTTTTAGGGAAGCCGACGTCAATTCTGCACTGATCCAATATCCATGATCAAAAACAGCATAGGGTCAGTTAACAAATTAGGTCAGTTTGTCGCTCCACCGATGAGGCTATTCCTGTCCACACTTTGACAGTGTTAGACACTCTACAAATAATTCTTCATCATCACATGATAAAAACGGTCAATACTTTTTCATTACATGAAATGTGGCGGGTTGCTCCTGTCGAGACAAGCCGTCCCCTAATGCTTATCATGTCTCATTACTAATGGAGGCCTGAAGTATACAAATGTCCAGCCCTGCAAGCACATCGCTATCAGCAAAAAGCAAACTAGATCATTTTTCTCACCTCATGACGGACAGGGTCTTCAATGCCCACAACACAAATGCAGGTCAGGTCATTCAGAATGTCAGCCTCGTTTTCCCAGTCTGGCTCAGTTGTGAAGTCCCTCATGGCTACGCAAATGGTCCTTAACCCGTCACAGGCCATTGGCTCGATCACTTTCTGCACCATCTCATCCCGATCTTTGGCCTTGAAGACACGTTGCTGGCCTGAAGCATCAAGGACATTGGAACACCTGACAGACAAGAGAAAGGTTTAATAAACAACAAACAATCATTGTAGTTTACTGTAGGAGGAAAATGAAACTATCTTTAAAAAAAGAACTCAAAAAGGAAAAAACAGAGGAAGAAAGGGAAATAAAGGGGTCATATAAAACAAATCAATTTTACTCCTGTCATGACCATTTATAATAAAAAAAATGGTAAATTCTTTCACTGCTGTTCCTTTAAGAAATTCATCTTAAGCCAGGAACACACTAAATGACTGTCAGGCAGTATATTCATGTAATTTGGTCAATATGACTGATCATGCTCAAACGGAAAGAGTTTGTTCCAGTTGCGCTCAGTCTGTGTTTATAGTCATGTAGTGGGCGGTGTCTAAAGATTCTAGTCTAACAATTTAAAACCAGCTGTTGCCAGTCATCCTCACAAAGATTTTATTAAACATGTTTAATATTAGAGACTGGCGCCGATAACTATGCCGTGGAGAAGCATTCTGAGTCAAACATCATTTATCCTTATTTTTGTAATATTGTCAAACATATTTTTTCTGTTTCTTTTGTAATATTTCATTAGCTAACATAGCAAGTTAATTGTTTTTAGGCTATTCATTCAGTTCTGTAAAAATTCAGAATAAGCAGTGATTTCTCTCATTTAAAAAAACATTAAGAAGCTATCCTTTTATTTCGACCGGGAGTCTAATAAAAAAAGTTACACAGAAAAAAATAAATGGTAGCTTATGTAGGCTATATAACTGCACTTGTTTCTGAATCACAAACATGACATTTGTAAATAAAATAATTTTAAATATACACACGTTAATTATATCTAATATATTTGAGGAAATATGAGGAAATGGTTCCTTGAATATATTTGCAGCTCTTCTGTCAAATTAATTCATGCTATCAGAGTTTCCAGTGTTGGCAGTACCATTAAATACTATTGGGGGCATTGTACATTTACTGTAGACTGATAAAAATGAAAATAAAATATACAAATAACATTTTAAATGACTTCTGTTTCAGAATAAATAAAGCAATATTTTCTATTTTGTTCTAACCGGTAACTGGTAACACTGGAACCGGAATGAAAAAATAGTCAAGCATTTTTGCTCAGAACAAACCAATTCCTTTGTAATGCCTGATTTGAGAATAGCAGTCTACATTACTGCTTTATAGTTGTTGTTTTTTTAACAGCACTAGAAATGTTGTAATTAATGAAATTAATCAGGAAATACATAATGAAATGTGTCTATAGGCGATAACGGCAAAAAGAAAACGTGAAAGAAACACACACTTATTTAACGTTTCATAAATGAAACCACCAGTATTGCAGGCATGGTTTTTCTATTTTATTTGTCTGCACAAATTGCACTGCAGATAAGTAGTGGCAGCTGTCTGTTGACATCAATGTTTGTTTCAGTACAAGATCTCGCACAGTTGATTTCGGCAGAATGTTCCATCATGACTCATCAATCGTTGTGTGTTGTGTAGTGTAGTGGACTGACTAGGTTTGTGCTTCTCTCTGACTGTAAAAGACTAAAATATGCTCCGGTCGATGGAAACAGTCTTTAAGTGTTTGAGTTTAATCATAGAATGCCTCAGCTAGTCATTAAGTATGTCCCCAGCTTTACATGTTTTGGGTTTATAACCCAAGGACTTCAGAAGTCATTTTTGCGGCTTTATTTCAATAAATGTTTTTTTTGGACTGAAAGTTTATCTCAAAAGATCAAGTAAACTTTGATATGACCCCTTTAAGATTTTGAAGATTAGTTTATTTAGCATACTTGCGCAGGACAATCTCAGAGGCGCCCTTGCTGTACATTCGGAAGCCGGGACCATTGGCATTCTTTAGTACGGTGCTCATACTCTTCCGGCTGGAGTTGAATGTGTAAACCTTATAAAGCTTCTCCTCAGGAATCTCATCTCTAATAGGCTGATAGTCCCTCTTCAAGTTCATCACCAGACCAAGAAGGGAACACTCGGTCTTATTACCTACGTGCCTTGGCAGACCTCCCTCCTTCTCTGGGGGCTATGGGAAAGAAAGATAAATTGTGAATAGCAGGCAAGAAAGGTTCAAGAATAGTAATAAATGAATTAGGGCTATCAATCGTTGTAAAAAGTTAATGAATCTGAATTGATTTTATTAAATATGACAATTATTTTATCAAATTAATTCTATGTAATTACATTTTTTTTTATATATATTTGCTGAGAAAAGCCCCCAAACTAAGATAACTAAAACATATTGTGGCAGACAAGTCTAGCATTGAATAGACATGACAAAAATGGTTGAAGACATAAATCTGTCTAGCCACAATGCATTTCACATTTGTGTTGTCAGTCTGTTTCAGGTGGACCAAGTCGTTCAGACCAGTATTTTTTTATTAATATTTTTACTTTACTAAATTACTAAGAACGAAAGTAAAATGAAATAACATTTGATTTTCTCATTTAATTTTTTTAAAAATTAATTTACTTTTTAAAATCTTACATTTAGTTAATATTAAATTTAGTTTATGATACCCTAGTTCGGACAGGATGTGGTGTTGTAACCCGTCTGATATTTGCTTTAATTGTTAGTCTATGTACACATAATGTATCTCTATGGGCATTGTGTTCCATCTCTTTCCATCTCCATCTTTTTAGCATCTTGCACAATTACAAATGGCGCTTTTCCACTGCATGGTACGGTACGGTACAGCTCGCTTTAAATGGTACCACCTCTGTCGAGGTTCCAAGCGTACCGTACCAATACTAAAATGTGACGTGAACACATTGCAGATCACTGATTGGTCAGACAGAATCGTCACTACCAGCATCATTGTATTTGCGAGACATCAAACCCGCTAGATTTAAATAGCCAGTAACAGCCACCGCTGTAGCACCTGTTTTAAAACTACTTGCTTGACTTGCTTGAAGAAAAAAGAAAGAAAGAAAACTTCCAAAAAAAGAAATGGCTGAATCGTGATCAGTGGACAAAGTGCAGACGTTCCTCTCGTTGGTTGCCGAGGAGCGGATAAACTATAACGGTCAGACTATAATCCAGGGGCGTAGCCAGAATTTTATTTTTGGGGGGTCCCGTCTTTAAATGAGGGGGCAACATACATATATATATATATATATATACATACAGGTCCTTCTCAAAAAATTTGCATATTGTGATAAAGGTCATTATTTTCCATAATATAATGATAAAAATTTAACTTTCATATATTTTAGATTCATTGCACACCAACTGAAATATTTCAGGTCTTTTATTGTTTTAATACTGATGATTTTGGCATACAGCTCATGAAAACCCAAAATTCCTGTCTCAAAAAATTAGCATATCATGAAAAGGGTCTCTAAACGAGCTATTAACCTAATCATCTGAATCAACTTATTAACTCTAAACACCTGCAAAAGATTCCTGAGGCTTTTAAAAACTCCCAGCCTGTTTCATTACTCAAAACCGCAATCATGGGTAAGACTGCCGACCTGACTGCTGTCCAGAAGGCCATCATTGACACCCTCAAGCAAGAGGGTAAGACAGAAAGAAATTTCTGAACAAATAGGCTGTTCCCAGAGTGCTGTATCAAGGCACCTCAGTGGGAAGTCTGTGGGAAGGAAAAAGTGTGGCAAAAAAACGCTGCACAACGAGAAGAGGTGACCGGACCCTGAGGAAGATTGTGGAGAAGGACCGATTCCAGACCTTGGGGGACCTGCGGAAGCAGTGGACTGAGTCTGGAGTAGAAACATCCAGAGCCACCGTGCACAGGCATGTGCAGGAAATGGGCTACAGGTGCCGCATTCCCCAGGTCAAGCCACTTTTGAACCAGAAACAGCGGCAGAAGCGCCTGACCTGGGCTACAGAGAAGCAGCACTGGACTGTTGCTTAGTTTTGCATGTCATTCGGAAATCAAGGTGCCAGAGTCTGGAGGAAGACTGGGGAGAAGGAAATGCCAAAATGCCTGAAGTCCAGTGTCAAGTACCCACAGTCAGTGATGGTCTGGGGTGCCATGTCAGCTGCTGGTATTGGTGGACTGTGTTTTATCAAGGGCAGGGTCAATGCAGCTAGCTATCAGGAGATTTTGGAGCACTTCATGCTTCCATCTGCTGAAAAGCTTTATGGAGATGAAGATTTCATTTTTCGGCACGACCTGGCAGCTGCTCACAGTGCCAAAACCACTGGTAAATGGTTTACTGACCATGGTATTACTGTACAAAATCATTGCTTTTGAAATACAAATATTTGCAGTCATGTCTGCCCGTCTTATTGAATTCTTTCTACACATGTATAGTGTCTCAGGCAAATTACTGACTTTGCACAAATCAAAGCAAATCAAAGCAAACCTTCTTATCAACCTGTTGTACACATATTACAACATGTATTGTATACATAGCTCAAAATGATTATTCTCAAAAAAAATTTAGAGCAGTGGTCTCCAACACGTCGCTCGCGAGCTAGCCAAGGGGCCTGCTCACATATTTTGCGCTTAAGTTCGTTATTTCAAATGCAGGCGCGCGGCAAGCGCGCTCATAATTGAAGCGACGCGCTCATTTTTTCCAGGCGCAGTATGTTTGTACTTTGCGGTTGTCTATGACAAGTATTGACAACAAACTCACCGTAAGCTGTCACGAGACTATCTATGGTACTAGTAGCCCATAAGGGATAAAAAAAAAAAAAACGCGCCACACGCACCGACGGGCCGCACTAACATTAAACTTTAATGTCAAGTAGGGAGCCACAAAATATCGGGGCGTGAGTTTGAGACCACTGACCTAAAAGCTGTCACAAAGAACCGGTAAAAGTAATGATTATGAATATGTAAAATATAGCAAGGAGATGTTTTAATTGTTTATTAGTTTTTCTTTTTTACCCAACAAACATAATGGTACAAACAAAAAAATCAAGTGCAAATACAAATACAAAAATAAGATGGTTCTTAATAATCACCCTTTATTAAATGTATGAACACAGAAACCCCCTGTTAACAGGTTAATGTCACGTTTCCCATTCCATGACTAGTAAAATTATCGCAATGTATTCTCTGTAAAATTGTGTAATCCGCAGGGTGGACACGGAGATGGGTAAAAAGGTTGGTGGCTACACATTCTGCAGCGTCGCGTGTAGGACAACTCGAGGTTTCGCACACCGGACGCGCACTTTCTCAGTTTATGGCCAGCAGTATTCTTATGTTTAAGGAGATTATGAAATTAATATAATGTCTGTACTATGTTATTATTGTACTGTACAATTAAATACAATAGTTGCTGAGTCTGTGATCTGAACACTTTACCTAAGAGCATCCATTAACTGAATGAATTGAGAATATCACCTGAAAATCCGACAACATCGGCAATTTTCATTCAAACAGCTGATTCCTGTAAATTAATGTAAAACTAAATGTACATTGCAGCACAGGGTGAAGTCATTTACAATGATTTGAGACAAATATAATGTAAATTTAAAATAAAACTATGTAAATGGCGCTGTGTCGCGGCAGGATTCTGAACAGCTGGGCGCCCGGGACAGACGGCGAATGGCACAACCGGTGTGTGTACACTCGAAGAGAAATCGTGTTTGAATTTTAAAGATGTGGCACACGCTTCTCGTCTGGTGTGCGACCCCCTTTAAAGTGCTGTTTTCTTTTGAGCCGAAGAACTCCCATACAGGCGAGCTTACTTTTTTCAGGTGTGGACAGTGTTTCACTCTCTCGCTCAGACGATATTCTTCTCAGAGTAGCTGCGCGGCTGTGTCTTTCTTGTTTGATAGGTGTCAGCGGGTGCAACACAGCCACCTGAGAGGTCAACCAGGTACTCGTGCTGGAGTATTTACGTGTCATGTTATCATAACAGTCCTTTTCATTTTAAACATCGTGGTTATCGCCAATACCGGTATATTGCCACACTCTAAATTAACACGATGTCGATATTTCATGCTTTGAATATCACGATTATCGTCAACACCGGTATACTGCGACACCCCTATTTTGTTTAAAAGTAGACATGTGAGGCAAGTAGGCTACCTTATATGCTGAGTTTCGGTTCATTTATGAGACGAGCTCCAGTTCATGCACCGGCGCCTCCGTTTCCCATCTATCGTCTGCTATATTTACTTCTTATTTATTAAATCCAGGCAATGTGGAGGCAGAACAATCCCTCTGGCCGCTTCCCTTATGTTAGTTTGCAAGTTTTGTTAGCTTGTTTTTTAACAATGACTGGAGAAAATCAGATTTTATCTTAATGTGCAAGGTCACTCAATGTCCAGGACCGCGATTGTTATTTGCAAAAGTTAATTTTAACGGACGGAGCAGATTGGCTGACCCGTACACGCTCACTCAATGCATGAACGATCTGACAGGATTAACGTTACCTCGGTTGAGTGGCCTGACTCCTACACCTATCCGTTAGAGAAACCGAGCGTAAAAAGAAACTGAGGGCATATAAATCTTTAGATGCCTATAACTATGTGCTGAATGGTCATGCACAAGACTTGTGTGGTACGATCCGCAGTTCTGCCGAGCCAGCGCCGAGAAGACGACAATGTAAAGAGTGACATTACGGTGCAATGTTAATGATGTGAATATTTTCTAGAAATAAAAATTCCAGATACAGCATATTCATTTTTCATTGATTCTTGCACCCAACAACACAACAAGATGACATTTAATAATAATAATAATAATAATAATAATTTAAGCTCCTTATTATGTAGCCGAATCTGTGCTGGTTTGTATTGGCCGCCTCCAGTTGTCCGTTAGTTTTGCCTCCAGCTAGCGTCGTGACTGTGACGTCGGCGCAAAAGGGGTCTATTACTTTGGTTTGTGCAGTGTAATTCACATAATCACTAAAACATATTTTGCCTCCTAAACATTTTTTTTTTTTTAAGCAATCAGAAATATGAGGGCACTGCTATAATCCCACCCACTTTGAAGCGGTACTAACTGCAGTGGAAAAGCAAACCGAGCTAAAGCGAACCGAGCCGTGCCGTGCTGAGCCGAGTCGTACCACGCAGTGGAAAAGCGAAGCAAGCCGAACCGTGCCGCGCCGAACCGTACCAGTAGTGGAAAAGCGCCAAAAGTTAACATGCTTCGAAATTAATCTCAAGGCCCCTGTGTTAAGTTTTATTCTGTTGTGCTCTGTCTAGCTGTCCTTTAAAATGCCTTGTGTGAATAGCTCCTTAGTCATTTTGTGCTGTCTGCTCTCGATAAGTGCGTTTTAGCTGGGGCTGACTGTGGACTTTTAATTTGACAACCCTATAATTAATAAACAAACAAAACAACAGATCACTCATTCATTATCTCATTTACATAAGGCAAGTTCTTACCAGGATCTTGGTAGTGTATGCTGAGTTTATGGAGATGCTGTTCACCAGTAGCTCCAGAGTCTGTGGATTTATGGCCTCTGGTTCAGGAACGCTTTTATAGTGTGTGTCACCTATGTAAGCCTGCACCACCGTCATGCGATTCATAGTCAGCGTCCCAGTTTTATCAGAGCAGATGGCAGTGGCATTACCCATGGTCTCACAGGCATCCAGATGCCTCACCAGGTTGTTGTCTTTCATCATTTTCTGTCGAGGAAAGACAGTTAATCTGGTTTTACTTGGGGAGAGGAGTGTGTTTAGCCCTTGAACACAGATTAGCAAAAATTTAGAGAATCATGCGACGTTTACTAACTTATAACCATCTGAAGGCCCTCAAGATTAACAAAATACAGTTTTGTGTTTGTAAACTAACCCAAAGGCTCTCACCTTAACAGAATAAGCCAGGGAGATAGTGACAGCAAGAGGCAGCCCTTCAGGCACGGCCACCACCAGCACAGTCACACCAATAATGAAAAACTTCACAAAATATTGTATGTAGATGGGAGTACACTCTGCTGTCCACTCACGACCTTGGACCCCAAATGTATCAATTACAAAGTACAGGATAAGGATAATGACGGTCACTGCAGACATGATGAGACCTGCCGGAGGAGAGGGAGTTTCAAGAACAATACAGTAAAAGGGAATGCAGAGCCTTCTAACTTTTGTTCATAACGGCAACAGCTGTGGTCTGATGTGCTCTATGTAAATGTTATTTGATTGGGTAACTGTAGGAAGTAGGATAATAAGGTGGAACACAGCCCAAAGGGACAAGCCTGTTTCCATATTGGGTGACACTGTTTCTTTAAGCAGTAAGTAAAACAAACCTTGGTAAGCAATTGAACTAATTTACTGAAATGACATCTGAAGAAATGTGTGTGCTTTGCACAAGCAAACACATGGCTAATTAGTATAAATATTGTGCAAAATTTTGGAAAGTTATATTGATATCTTTGTGTAAAGATGTTAAATAAATAAAAAAAAGAAGAACAAGTGTGCACCTTTAAACTAAAAACTGTTTTTTTTTTTTTTTAATACTTCTGTTCACAATTGGGGCTGGCTACTTTTTTTAGTAGGTTGAAAAAAATGAAATAAATAAACAAGAGTAAGTGTTCTTTCTATCCGAGGAGCACAATTTCAACCAAACAGCCATTACTGCCAAGTAGCTTAAAAATGTCAATGTCAAATGTCAATCAGAGTTTCAGTGAAAACTAATTCATGTAAAAATGACTCAAACTAATCAACAAAACAGTTTTTGTTATTGAAATTTAAATTAGAGATAAAATATCTGTTTTTAATTTCTTGAAGGATCCCAAAAGTCTCTGAGACATTTTTTTTATTAATTTTATATTGATAAAAAAATCATTGCAATTCTATCATTAAATTCAATATGTTGTCCAGCCCTACATTAAAACTGTCAACTTGTGCATCAGTATTACACAAACAAAAAAGTGATATTTAACCATCTAGACCAATGAGTTAATCAGGCACCCTTGACTCTCAGTTATGTGTGGCTTCCTAACCTGCTTTTCCAATCTGAACCGCTAGCCTAGTCAGCTTGCCCTGAAGGACTGACTTTTCTTTCTTGGTGACGTTGACCTTCTTTTTCTCCTTTTCTTCCTTTTCCTCGGACTCTGCACCTTCCTCACTCTTCAGAGGTTGGATCTCCAGGGCGATGCCATCCTGGGTCTTAGCTGTGGAGGTTGATTTCAGGAGTGGTTATGGGAACAAGGGAGGAACATGCCAAAAAGGATGGAGATGAGAGGTGGGGAATGGGAAAAATGGGAAGAGGGGAGGAGAGAATGGGCAATTCAGTAACAGCTAGAAGGCAAGTAATACAGTGGGTTCCAAGAGAATTATACAGAAGAATCATATCAGAAGCACATATTTATTATTAGTTGACTTTGCTTGAGTGAATCTAGGCAGGTGAGGAGAAAACTATAAATTCATTGAGCCATTCCCCGGCAGGCTAAGGTGCGCACAGTAAATTTAAATTGGATTCAAGCAGCACACAAGACATTTTGATAATACCGGACCCTACGTTGTCAATAGCCAATGAGCTTCTGAACTGTTATGAAATATAAAATAAAAATCATTACATTTGTTATTAGCTGTGTAAACCTTTGTGTGATCTTCAAGTTCAAACCATAACCAAATTTTTAAATAAATTATCTTAAACTGGCAATGAAAATTAAATAAGCCTTTTATTTATCTTATGGCTTGTATTAATGTGCCATCATGGCTACTCTGGTAGTCGTATTTGATGACGTTCAATTCACTTTTAAAGCAACTTAACAAGCTTGTGCAATATTGTAATACCAAATAAATGTATATTAACTAAACCAAACTGGAAAATACGTAAAAAGTAATTTCAGTAAAGGGAATAATACATTTGCAGAAAAAAAATATCAAGGCAAAACAGCGTTTAACATTTCTTTTTACATCAGTAACTTTGTTAGTTTTAATTCAATTACACAACTGGCAAGGCTAAAATGGCATATTATATTGCCCAATTATATTACCCACTAAAATAGAAACTTAATGGAGTTGAAGATCAAATTCAGCCACTTTGCCATGGTTAGGCATTGATCCCTCAGCCCCAATTCCCATTAAGTCTTTTTAAAAGATACAGAGAAGTCAAGTCATTTTCTTTTTGCAGTTAGCCTATGTATCATCTCAAACATGGTGTGCACCAGGCTGAAACTCTGTATGTAATAGTGGAGCTCTGAGGTTGAGTCCGAGAAACAGTCCAAAAGCCTACCTGACCACCAGTCACAACAAACAACTGACCAGAACTGACAGAGCTGACCAGAACGACCACACATGAATCAGGGATTGATGGACGGACTGACTGTCTGACTGGCTGACTGACAACACGAACAGAGGCACGCACGACGAACAGAAGAGTGATTTACAAACAACTTAAACAGAAAAACAGTCCAAACAGCCAGAGATACAACCACCACAAGAAACAAGGATCAAGAGGAAGACGAAAAAGATCAGAAAGATTTTGGTTTATTTTTACGCTCCCACAAAGTGAGAGTGCAGTAAAGAGAAAGAGGGTAAAGGTGAAAGAAAAGGTCAAATTTTGACCAAGAGAAGAGTGAACAAGAAAGCATGAAGTCCTGAGCCACACCCTAGAAAGAAGCAACAGTGAGAAAAACAAAGAGCTAAAGTAAAGAAACGGACAAAAACAACAATCCACAGCCTGTCCATTTTGTAAGGGTGCAACTCCCACATAAGCCACGCCCCTAAGCATTACATTAACATCATAAACCATCAATGAAGCTAGGATTAAATATTGCACGGACAAATGTGCATCTCTACAAAAGCTCTTGGCTGCATTTGAATAAATTATAAGGCAATGTAAGACCCTGTCCGTAACTCGTAATGTTTCCAAGTGAAACAGGATATTCAAGAATAAAGAGAATAAAATAAAAAAACAAGGGTTGAACTTAAATTTATCTATCAGGAAATGATTAGATTGTGGAGAGTGGGTGTTTTGTACAACATCACAACATGGAGCAAGATTAAATACTCTTAAATAGTTCTTGGCTAGCATTTTAAAAATCGAGGAAGACACTAAATACATATACTCGGAGTTAAACCAATACCAGCTTGTGTTTTTGTGCTTGAGATCAAGGGCAAAAGGAAGGAGATCTGTGCAGACAAAATGAGCAGTTCTGTCTGGAGCAGATGCTCAGTCCCCGAGCGCTACAGGGGGTGGGGCTGGGAGGGGTTGTTGGGGTCAGCCAGGGCAGAGTGGGCACACTCTAAAACACAGTTCAAATGTTCACAGATGACCCGGACGAGCACACAGAGATAGTTTGCTTCTGAAAAGGAGAGACATCTAAATGTCATTAGTGCAAACCTAGATCTTTAAAAAAAAAAAAAAAAAAAAAAAAAAAAAATCTTTAAGACAATAAACTTTATATATATATAAATCATTAGGGTTGCCGATGTTAAAGTCCCTGTAAAGTCAAAATTTTGTATGTGTTCTGAGTTTGTCACACCACAGAAAAATGTGTTATTAGCCACCCTGCCAAATTTGAATGATAAAAAAAAGCCAGCAAGTACATAAAATAAGCTATCAAAATCTTGAAAAAATGAGCAGTAGTCTCTGCTCTCAAACGCTGGGGGCATGTCCGCTGGCTGCGCTGAAACCACGCCCACTCGCGGGAAAGCTGCCGTCGCCACACTCAACTCTACAGCCGGAATAGATGCTCGCACGGTGGGCACGCACTGCCGATGATGGCACCAGTTGTCGGCGCGACGGGAGGATGAATGCCGAGGCGGGAGATAGTCGGTTTGGCCCCATTCACCAGTAACAACGGATTATCAGTGAATCCCAGTTGTCTCCGACGAAAGTTTATAAAACTATCCCGTGTAAAATGATCACTTACAGAGGCGGGTTTTGGCAGTGATCCTCAGCTCTCCATCAAGGTTGGCTCTTCACAAAATTAATCCACTTCTTCTTGATGTAATCGTTTTTCGGAAATTTAAATAAGGACACCGATCTGTTTTGTATGTGATCCGGTGATCGCATCCAGGTAGTAGCCTACGCTTTTCTGTGACGAAGGCATAGCTAGCTAGCAATCTGTAGGCTGCTGTAGTAACTAATAGTACTGACCGTAACTCAGATTGATCGGCAAAACTAATGTGAATGTGCTCTATATTGTTAGGGGAGCGGACAGCCTCAGAGGCTCCAGTGCGTCATCAAGTAGGGGCGTGTCCAGGAGCTCAGGGGCTCCAGTGCGTCATCGAGCCCCGTTTTAGCCCCGCCCAAAAAATCCGTAAAACAGCAATGGTGAAAAACTGTTTAACGGTCTAACTCCACAATTCAGTACTTCACAGTTCACAGTCTTTGTAATATGTTTTAGCAATACATTTCTAACATTTATAATGTGTTTAGAATTTTTTTTTAATTGCCTTTACAGGGACTTTAACGTGTATACTTCTATCAGAGCGGGACACTTCATATGTGGATTTAAAACAGAAAATGAAACGGTATGTTATACAGCACACTACGTGTATGCATTCTTTACACAGCGAAGTTGCATATTTAAAGCTAGTGACATGAGCAAGCAAACTATATCACCATGCAACTGACATATAAACAAATCAAATGCATTCAATTTCACTTCTTTTTTTTTTATCATCACTGTAATGCATATTTTGTAATAATGATTATAATCAAGTGTTCTAAAATAGAGGCAAATAAATTGGGAGAGTATACATACAATATATATATATATATATATATATATATATATATGCATCTAATTTCAATGCTATGGCCTTTGTGTAGATATTTAAAGAGGTCATCTTTAAGCATGACTGTTTGGATTTATATGAAATGGTAATACTTTACAATAAGATTCAATTTGAAACTAACTAAGGTTAATAAAAAGTATTGTTCATTGTTCATTTAAACATTTACTATTTTAAAGTTGTTTCTCTTAAAGGATTAGTTCACCTCAAAATGAAAATTTCCTGATAATTTACTCACCCCAATCCCATCCAAGATGTTCATGTCTTTCTTTCTTCAGTGGAAAACATTTCAGGATTTTTCTCCACACAATAGACTTCAACAGTAACCAAACTAATGCAGTTTCAAAGGGCTCTGCATGATCCCAGCTGAGGAATAGGGTCTTATCTAGCAAAACGATAAAAACTAAAAAAAATAAATAAAAAAACAGACCAGTCTGCGACATTACGTACGCTGGACGTAGACGGAAGTACCGCCCCATTGTTTTAAATATTCAGGATACGCACACGAAAGGACAATTTTAAACAATAAACTGACACAGACATAAATATGTCATTCAACGCTTGTAAACAATGGGGCAGTACGTCCAGCGTGACCTTTCCAACGTGATTACGTAATGCCTGGCACATCGCAGACCAGCACAAGACGAAGAATTGTGGTTAAAAAGTATAACCACATTAAATTGTGGTTAATTCAATGCATTGATTTGGACTTCAACAATTTGGTTACCGTTGAAGTCCATTGTGTGGAGAAAAATCCTGAAATGTTTTCCTCAAACTTAAATTTCTTTTCCACTGAAGAAAGAAAGACATGAACATCTTGGATGGCATTGTGGTGAGTAAATTATCAGGAAATTTTCATTTTGAGGTGAACTAATCCTTTAACAGTAGTTAAAGCACTATGAACTAACATGAATGAACCAGGTATAATAATAGAGGTGTAACGATACGATACTGAATTTACAATACTATTGCGATATTTTAAGCCAAAAAATGTGTTTTTATTATTATTACTTTAATATTAAAATATTGTTGTTATTATTATTATCATCAGAACCCATAAATATTCTCACATTGCAGTATTATACATTATATACAGTAGTTTAATGTAGTAATGTCACTGAAACTCTGTAACTCTCTCGATACTCACTATGTCCCATCTCTCACGCTATTAATGTACTATACACATAATAAACCATCTGAAATGCTTTGAATAATTATAGTACTAAAACTAAATGTGATATGTTGATTTAAATGATGTTTGCACTTTCACTTTGAGGAGTGACGTTCCAGCACGTATGCTCTTCAGATGACCAATGACAGGTCTAATCGCAAGAAAGAGTGTTAAAATGACTAATACCAAACTGTAAATGTTTAGATCATCCAAAAATGTATTCTGCATTTAAACACTTTTTTTTTGTTTTTCGTGGTTTACAGTATTCGCGTCATTGTAAATATGTTCATCATGTCTCTCTTCAGAAGATTTTTTACAATGCTTTTTTTGTATCTTTTAAGTTTTAGAGGAATAGACTTTAAATAGAGCATCAGAAATCTCTCTCAAGTTTCATCAAAAATATCGTCATTTGTGTTTGGAAGTTCATGAACTCTATATCGAGAATCATTTAGTTTACATCAACAATGCATTTTTATATTGTGAATTTTTATATTGTTGCATTTTTATATTGTGATATAACGATGTTTCGTTACACCCCTATATAATTAATAAATTAATTTTTTATATTAAAAAAGTACAGTTTATTTTCATGGTTAAGTACAGTTTTTCCAATTTTTATAACAAAGTTCAGCACTGTTTTTTTTTTTCATTCAGTATCCATTTTAAAAACTAACCGTTTAATCGGTCATCGGCCAGGGTGGGCCAAACTAGTTATTACTATCGGTCGACCTCTACACATCATGCAAAACTTTTATAAATAATTAGTTTGCTTGCCTTAAAAAAAGGAACTACACTATTAGTCTCTTATGCACAAAAATACAGTAAAAACAGTAATATTGTGAAATATTATTACAAATTAAAATAACTATTTTAAACTACTATAAAACAATATTAAAGCTGCCGGCGGCAACATTTTTTTGATCATATTCAGTGAAATCGACACTATAATCTGACAGAACAACATAAATAAAGTGGTTTTAGAAAAAAACCCGAGCTTCTAACTCCACCTGGAGCGTGTTATTTGTTTTGCAAAAATCCACAGCTCCCGGTTCATCGGGTCCAATCAGCGCATGGGGTGTGAGATCTGACTGTCAATCACAGATCGAGCACACACCACCCCTCACGCACGTTACAATCACATGCACACGCCTGAAGTTCGCGCAGTAACGAAGAGTGATGGTGGAAAATCAAGTAAGCTCATTTAGAGTATAAATGACATTAGCAATTGCAATCTATCGATAACCGTGATTTAAATCGACTGACAAACAATGAACTTGTAAAGTCTTCTGGCTGCTTAGTGCCGTTTCCAGCAGGTGAGAGTTGCACCCTTTAACAGCAAAGCGAGGCGAGAAGCTCCCCCGGGCTCAGCAGGAAGGGGTAAGCAACAGCGTGAAAGACAGAGAGAGAAAGTGAGCAAGTGAGTGAGTGGGACTGACACGAGACTCCGAGACTTGCTGCTGAATGGGGGGGGGGGGGGGGGGGTTGGGGAGAAGGGATAGGGAGTGGGTAAGGTTACCTTTGTTGCGATTTTCAGGGGGTCCTTGTTTTTTACCTGTTTAAAACGAGAGAGAGAGGGCGGAGGGCTGATATAACATGGCTCAAAGTAAATTAACTAAAGACAGAAAAAGAAAAGAAAGAAACACAACAACAAAAAGAATAAAAAAACTAGATAAGTAACACTACATTACATGAGTATATGTGGGATTTGATGTTTCATCTATAGAAAAAGACAAGGACTGGAGGGTCTTTATGCAGGGTACACTGACGGCTCGGTCATTGTTTTTGACTGTGGCACACAACTGACATAACCTCATTACGATTAGGGGTTTTATAAATTTCCTAGTTTTGTTCGCTTGCTTCACAAACTATGGCAATGCCAACAGGCTTTGGCTGAAACCAAAAAGCAGTTCTCTCAATTTTTATTGGCAAACACATTCGACAAAGATGTTCTTGGACCCTGAGGGAAAAGGGAAAATTACTGCAGAAATCTGACTGTATATAACTGTCATTATAACAAAAATACAGGAATTTAAATATTAAGTCTTAGTATTAAGTGCTCTTTTAACTTATGAGGCAATGAAAGAGTAAACTATTTAGACCAGTCTGACTGTTGAATTAAGTGGCGACCCAACTATCAGGAACATGTGAGAGACTGAGAGCTGACAGCAGGTGTTGTCAGGTTTTGACATACCCTGGAGGACCAGGAGAGTCAGTGCATGCAGAAGGGACATACTGCATGCTAAATTGGAGGCTAAAATAACATGACAAGAATGAGTTTATTTGACCATTCAATTATCATGATCATCTCATATACAGTATACAAGTTTATGTAGGGCTGGGCGATATGGCCCCCAAAAAAATTACCACAATTAAATTTTTCATATCAGTCAATATTGATAATTATCGTGATAAATGTCAAATCTTTATTTCCTTTAAGTTTAAAGGCAAATGTTTGCATCTAAGGGAAAGTTAGCTAAAAGGCTGTTAACTGTGAATAAAAAAAAAAAAATTGTGTGATTAAGCTAGCCTATAGCATTTGTGCATTTATACTAAATAGTACACATGCACAAATGCTATAGACTAGCTTAAATCACAAAAAATGCTGTATTTATATTCCATTACTCCTTTAATACATTTATGTCTACATTAATACAATTCTAAACTAATAGCCCCACATTTCTGCCACAATACCATGGTGCAGTTAGTGTTACTACTACAGTAACTCCATGGTAAATTATGGAGATTTGTAGATTGAAAAGTCTTCTGACGGTATCGTTGCGTACAGTGTTTCTCCTGTTTGTCAACGCAGTTTCATCTAGCTTTAAACTAGTTTAAATCACCAAGACGTTTGTGTTCTTTGCTGAATCCAAGGGTTTAGTTCTCACAGCGCTGTGTAGGCCGATCGGCTAGTAAACGCATCCGCTTTAGTAAGCGTGCCAGCGCTGCGCTGCAGTTTGAACTTTGATCTGAGCGGATAAATGGTCTGCGTGCCGTGGTTCAAATTAGTGCCGTTTCGTTGCACTTGTGGCACATAAACATTATATCAAACATTTATCGAACTCTTGTTGTCGGTTTATCAAGGAATATTATATCACGATAATTATCATTAACATTTTAGAGCCCATCCCTCGTGTTATGTGTGAATTTTTTTGTATATACATTTACCCAATTAGAAATAACTATCTCAAATTTAGCTTGAGCTAACAGGGGGAGAATTTTTTTTAAATAACTTTAAAAATAGTTTGTAAAATGGAAATTAACTCAAGGGATATCGTACATCTCCATCGACATACTGTGATTATTCCCCAAATAAATGTTGAATTTTGCCCATGGCAGAGGGTTTCAGACCAGCAGGCATTTTTGGGGGAGGGAGACAATTCAGCAAATCATGTAAATGGTTCTTACCTCTGGCAGGCTGATTGTAGGTAACCTCCCAACTAGAGAGGTAGACTGGTTTACTCAAAGAGAGAGGGGAATTATCCAAATGAGCCTGAAAGTATGTTAGATTCTCACCTTTCTTCACCTTCTTCTCCTCATCCTCACTGCCCAAGAGGGTGAAAATGATTCCAGTTTGAGAATTCAGGCCCACAGCAGTGACCACCATTCGGCCAGATCCCTCCATCACATGAGTTCCTGAACGAAATCAGAAGGAAAGGTTGTCACGACATCAGTCGATACCAGTCAACAGTCCTTTCCTTTATTTAAAGTTAGCCTACATTTTAACAAACATTAACTAAATATCCTATTTATTAATAAAGTAAGAATTTCAATTAACAACCTTCGAGTATTTCTCAATTAAATGTTTTTTTTTTCTCGAACTAGTCAATAATAAAGCTAATTAAACTAAGCCATTAAACTAGTATTAGATTAACATTAAGGCGGTATGCAATCTAAATCCTAAAATAAATTAAGTAGTATTGTCACTTTAACCAGGTTTTATCATAAACAAAGTGGTCAACAGCTGGAGTCTTAAATCTTTCTAATGATACAAAGTTTGTCAGGATCAAAGAAGAGTGTAATGTTAATAGCGTACAGTTAATGTTGAACAACAATATTCTGGGGCCGTCAATGATCTTTGCAGATTAAGAGGTTAATAAAAAAATATATATTATATATATATATATAAATATATATATATACACTCCTGGACAAAATCTTAAGACCGGGGGACACATTACCAGTATTCGCATTTCGCGCTGGTGGATTATTAACTTTTGTACTGCTTTGTTGTAAGCACTGCTTCAAAATGCCAAAAGAAGAAACAGGAGAAAGAGACACAAAAATATAGAGTAGGCAATTTATTGAAAACTGCATTTAAACCAAAACAGGCTGTTCATCAGCTGATCAAAAGTTTAAGACCATAGCCTTAAAAAGGTCAAATCTGCACAAAAATATGGCTTTCATGTCATTGTCCTTCAGGCAGTCACACTGTCATGATCTCCTGATGGCAAACGTAAAAAGGCTATTTCTCTTTGAACATGGCAGGATTGTTGACCTGCACAAGCAAGGCCTTTTGCAATGCGCCATCGCTGCCGAGGTTGGACGCAGTAAGACAGTCATTTTACATTTCTTAAAAGATCCTGAGAGTTATGGGACAAAGAAGTCAAGTGCTAGACCCCAAAAAATGTCATCTGCACTGAGCCTTGTTCACGGTTGTCCGTGAAGACACAGGTCGATCCTCAACCCAAATTAACGCCCTTACTGATGCTGCAGCCCAATAACCATAAGACGTCATCTGTGAGAAAAGGGTTTAAAGAACAAAAAATGTCTTCACATCTCCTCACACGCCACAAACTTGCCCATATGGAATTTGCAAGGGAGCACCAAACATGGGACATTGAAAGGTGGAAGAAAGTTTTATTTTCTGATGAGAAAAAAATTTAACCTGGACAGTCCTGATGGCTTCCAACGTTACTGGCAACGTTACGATCCCACCGTAGATGTTTTCTACACGGCACAGTGGAGGAGGCTCCATCATGATCTGGGGTGCTTTATCCTTCAATGGGAAAATGGAGCTTCAGGTTTTGCAGGGGCGTCAAAAGGCGGCTGGCTCTGGACATGTTGCAGTGGGCATCCCTCTTGACTGAGGGCCCTCATCTGTGCAGTAATGACTGGGTCTTTCAACAGGACAACACTGCAGTTCACAACGCCTGCCTGACGAAGGACTTCTTCCAGGAGAATAACGTCGCTCTTTTGGACCATCCTGCGTGTTCCCCTGATCTAAATCCCATTGAGAACCTTTTGGGATGGATGGCAAGGGAAGTTTACAAAAACGGACGACAGTTCCAGACCGTGGATGCCCTTCGTGAAGCCATCTTCACCACATGGAGCAACGTTCCCACCAACCTCCTGGAAACAGTCCCATCAAGCATGCTGAAACGAGTGTTTGAGTGATCACCAAGAATGGTGGGGCTACTCACTACTGAAGCCTTTTTTTGACACTTTTAGTTCTGGTGTAGGTTTTTTTTTGGGCTATGGTCTTAAACTTTTGATCAGCTGATGAACAGCCTGTTTGAGATTAAATACAGTTTTCAATAAATTGCCTTCTCTCTATTTTTTGTCTCTTGCTCCTGTTTCTTCTTTTGGCATTTTGAAGCAGTACTTACAACCCGTTAACGATCCACCAGCGTGAAATGCAAATACTGGTAATGTTTCCCCCGGTCTTAAGATTTCGTTCAGGAGTGTATATATATTGACAGTAGCATGGTATAGCCTAGTGGCTAAAGCTCAAGGTAGGTAACTTGGTTTGAAAGACATGAGCTATTTCCACCCAGTTACATCCAGGTCCAAACGCTCCTTTAGATTCCAAAAGCAAACAAACGGTGCTAATATACACTCATGGTGTGCTGTAGTGTTGATCCTATCCTACAGTTGATCATGATAACCTTTATCTAACCTAACCTTTATCTCCATACCAAAATCTTATTTGGCCGGACAGTTTTATTATTATTTTTTCATTAAAATATTGTTGTCCAAGACACTGTGAGCCCGGCAGAGACTGTAGTGTACACCATGACTTTTTAAAAGCTTAGCTTAAAGGTGTGCTATAAATGAATAGTGCTCATAAACGACTGAGTTTAATTCAGATTGTATTCTCACTTAAAATAGAGTAAAGGCTTGCACCAGAAAACAGTATTATCTGAAGGTCGATGTGTCAACTTCATAAGCAGACTGCAGGGGTTAAAGCAAAAAAAAAAATTTTGACTGAAAATTTTTCCTCGCCCAAACCCCATTCCACAGCCAGACACACCCTGGTCACACACACAGTTTAAGAGCATTTTTTTCTTCTTGTAATTAGGAGTATAGTGAGTACATGCTTTACCTTCACAAATGAAATACTCAAAGAACATTTGCATTTAAAGAAAGGCCATTTTGAACTGCGTTTCTATTATTTACACACTTTATGAAATTTCAATGTTTTCAATCTAATGCTTTTACAAGACTTGACTCTTGTGATGTAGTCATACAAATAATTAACCATTTGCATAACTTTAACACAAGTTTTTATTTCTCAAATAATAAAAGCCAACAGAGCTTTTGCCGAAAAGTGAGCTAAAATCACAAACTATACATAATATAATATCTGTTTTTAACCTAGCGATTATAAATAATGTTATTTTTGTGATAATATAATGTTTATGTTGATTATATGAAAAGTGAACAGCATGAGCAGGGCCATATGCAGGATTTTATAAATACAGAGGTCCTTGCTATAGTGATCCTGCTATGGGGGTTCGTGGGCATGAGTAAGATAGGATCATTAGATGCCCAATATATCGGGAGACATAGGCCTATGGAGTGGGTCAGACATGATTCTGACCACTTCATTAACCCTCTGGGGACCAGAAACGCGCCGGCACGTTTTGCTCGTTTTTTTTCACATAGCAGAAAAATAGACTTAAAGTACTACCATCATTTCTGTTCATATAGTTAAGAAATATGAGAAAATAATCTGTTAAATGTCTACTTTTTTATGTGCCCACATACAATCGAAATAAAATATTGTGCTTTTGTAAAATAAAGAAAATAAACAGGGTGTGCGTTCTGCCTCTCGGTCACCGTGAACTTTTTTTCTGGAGCACGTCTCTAATCTTCAACACAACTCAGCTAATACTATTCACCCAGCCATAAGCAATATATCTTTTAAATCATTTGAGTTTGTACTTTTAAATGATCCGATTCAAAACTAAAATTATTATTCTCCGTTTATGTCATCTATATAAAAAGAGAGACGTGTCAGCCCGTCTCATTATCGTTCTCTCAGCTGATTATCTCTGGTAATGTGACACGCCCACGGAGAGCACGCGCTATTCAAACGCAAATATGTGAAGCAACACATTGAGACGCGTTAACGCCCATAAACTCTGAAAACACACATTATTTTTAGTCAGATTAATCTACTGTCGTCTTGCGCGGCTATATGAGGAACAATCCTGGGACATTTACCACTGGGTTTATTTTCACTTCGAGGATGAACAGATTCAGCTGAGAAGTAAGTGTTTTTTGAAAGTGCTTCGTTCTAATCGCGATATAGAATAACTTAGTGTCTGTAAACGGAAAAATAGCATACTGTTAAATGTGAATCATGTTTGTGTGTGTGTGTGTGTGAATGAATGAATGAATGAACGCACAGATACGCACTGTTACAGACTAAATAACAGACAACATTTCGTTGACTCGTTTTGGATAAAGTTTTTACTCTAAAATAGACATCAAATAAGCTTTTTTTAGGAGTTTCTGCTCATATGTTAAATATATAGTATGTTTTGTCAATAAACTAATCAACTAAGATGTTATAGTGTTTGTTCAAGCTATATCAAAATAATGAATCCTCAACTTTGAAATATGTATGATCAAACTAAGACATTTATGGAGAAAGACAATTTTCTTTTCAAGATGTTTCCAACTCTAACTTTGAACTGAAATAAAACCATGTCTATATGGTGAAGGGTGTGTGATAGAAGTGTCCAGACGTATGCACCCTGTATTTTCCTTATATAAATCCAAACAATCTAAAAGCCATTCTTTTTTAAATCTCCTCATTCTTTGTGCAAGGCTCCTGTAATGATATGGCCTGATAGCACCTAATAGGGCCATTATGGGGGGGGTCTTTGTCTTTCTCAGGTGTGGAATGCCACACATATTAATGAGAGATCACGCCTCCTGCATAAAGCTTTCTCAAACAAAACACGTCATTAAAAATGTAAAAGACTTTATTGACTTATCTGAATGAGTAGTCAGGATGATTCTCACATAGTTTTGGAGCAAATATTCTAGGCTATGTGATACAATTTTCAAAAGTCTTGTGAAGAAATAATCAATATGTGTTTTGTGGTCTTATTTCAGCAACTTTCATTTTTATTTTTTTCAATAACCACGCATAAACATTATTCTATTAAAAATACAAACATGTACATACATGTTGCTCAGATCTCATGGTAGCCAAGTTTGTGCTATATAGAGTGAATTTACACCTTTGCCATTAACATGTTTATAAATAACTGAAAAAAGCACAAATGTCAGTGCATGTCAAAACATCCCAAGGGCCCCAAAAACACTCTGGTCCCCAGAGGGTTAAGTTTTGTTTTGTATAAAGCCTTTCTTTAAAGTGAATTTCGTTATCTTAATTTTAA